AGACATCCAATTTCAGCTAAGCACAGACTGCATACAAAATAAACAAAGATTAAATGTATTACTATCAATAAGATATAGTCGCCAGCCACCCCAGTAAAATACTTCGACTGTATCTGAAAGATGTCATTTAAGCAATGGGATTATGTATTGCCTATTTGCCAATTTTTTTTTAAAGATATTTGCCGATACTCTACTATTGTTGTTGTTGTTGTTATATTGTCTTAGTTACATTTTAATTCGTATAATCAAGTACCTTTGTCATTTTTGCGTTCTTTCGACACAATCCTTATACAATTTCTAGTTTATTTTAGAGAAAACTTATGTCGTGTGCGTCGTGCGGTCATAAACTGAATGATCAAAATTAATCTTTAACCAGACAGGCTCCTGTTTTCGTTGTTACGTGCTCAGGCTTTCGGAAAGTTATTGTTATCGTTTCGTCGTCGAAACGTTTCATTTTCTCACCGTTTCTTTAGTTGTTTGTGTGCGCGACGATACATTTATCGAATTATTCACACAGCGTGGTTTTCGATTCAGCGACCAAATTTTGCCCTATCGATTTTTTCCTCCGTAAGAAATACACGTGTAGGAAAGAGACGGAAAAAGTGGAAAATGGGACCGTACTCGCAAATCGATTCTGTTTTCCAGTGTTTTATCAGTATTTTTTGTTTTACAAGTTCAGGTAATGTTTGTACTTGGAGTTTCGGGATATTTTGAGAAGGAAAAACATTTGATATGCAACGGCGCCGTTATAAGGAAATTGTTGTTGCTGTAGGCCCTATATGCCTTCCAACGGCTGGGAACCCAGCAATTGATCTCATCTGGAAAATAAATATTGCTAAACTTAAAACTTTTAAGGAAACAAACCACCTTCAGCTTATGTTCTTGGCAAGACCTGACATCTGCCGGCGCGGAACCCAATCACATTTTGTCTTTTGTTTGTGCAAATAATATGGTAAGTAATGGAAATCTTATCCTTGATCAATTTGCTAATAGTAATGAAACAAATCATTTGGCGATGAAAACATACCACATGTTTCGATCAAATTGTATTTCGTTTTGCGTTGCTTTGCATTTTTTCGAAGACACTGAATTTGCACATCCTATACATTCGGATACGGTTTGCTTATGCCGATCAGCTGATCGCTACAGCGCTTCTCTATGTAAACAGGAATCGCTGTTTGCAGTTTTAAGCGGCTGTGTGCAAAGGGTAATAGAATCCATCCGTTGGAAACATATGTTGTTGCTTCTGCTCCTCCCTTTTCCAAAATGTTACTTGTCAATTTTCCCTTTCAAGAAGAATTCGAGTTGCGCCGAAAAAAACATCGCTTAAGTATCACATAAAAGTGTCCGTAAAAGTCCGTCAAGTTTGGATGGCGGTCTAACTGGAAAATTATCGGAACGGCAAAACCTTACGGACCATTCGTTCAGCGGATGATAGATGGTTGATGTGGGATGACGGGACTAGGAATATATAAAAATAAAATAATAATTGCTCTTATGATGGTGAGAAATTAATGTTAATCAAACAATGAGTCATCTATATTTTGTTTTCATGCTAATAAGAACGATTTTAGGTAAAAGACCTTTTTCTTTTTATAACGCAATAAAAATTGTGTCGTTTTCAAAACGAAAAAAATAGCGTTTTGCGTAAAAGAAAAATCATGTTTTGCGTTTCGAAAGAAAATAAATAGAACCGTAGAAATCGGCATCGATTTACTTATATCTGACTCGTTTTTCTGAAAGACAAATCACATTTTTGTCTGTCAAAATAAATTGTATTACAGAAACATGGGTTTCCATGAACTCGGGGGAATTCAATTGAATAAAAGCAAGTTGCTTCTGCTAGGATGTCACTATTTTCACCGAATTGTTCATGCAAGTACTGAGCAAGAAGTTACAGAAGTTTAAAATACCTTGGAAGACAACATGTTAGACGAAGATAAAGACAATCCAATAATCAGCCTTGATAGCTCAGAAAGCTTGAAATATTTTTAAAATATATGTAGCTCTGATTTACTAATTAAAAATCACGTTTCGAGCCTTGACGTTACTATATTACTCGTTTTAATTATAATTTACTATATACTATATTATATTATATAATAAATAAATAAATTATAATTGCAGTTTACAGCCCATTATTTTATTTTCATGAAAGGCACAAAAGAAACATTGGTGTGTGGTTAAAATTTATGATGACTGTATTTCCACTGGTTTTGGCATTAGGATTGCAAAAGTTTCGCGATGAATTTCCCGTTTCTATTCATGCTAATTCGGAGAAAGTGGGAAGTGGAGCAAAGTTTTGTCAGTGCCCAGGGCTTTCTTTCTTCTTCGCGAGCGGGCCTTTCAAATCTCGCAGTCCCCCGCAATTTGGCCAATTTGTTAGACAAAGCTCGTTCGTTCGCTCGGTTGTTTTGCCAACTTTGCAGACAAGCGGGAAAAACAATGGACTCTTGGCCACTGAGGCGGCAAATGAGCTGAAAACATAGCGCCCCAGCGGATTTTCAGATTTTCAGCAAAAAAGATCACAGCGAAATATAATTAGCGGAGTCGTGATGAAAAGAGAGAAGAGGAAAAAACACATTTGCAGGCCTGTTTTTGCGTCGTTTCGAAACGAAACGTTCAATTAACATTGGCGGAGCGCCGAAAAACACGGAATTCTCGCTTTGGGTTATTTTTTTTGTTTGTTGGGGGGCTGAAAATGGGATTTGCTAAGCGGCGTTGCCCATTTTCACTTCGGCACGACCAAAAACGAAAAGTGGCGCGCAGCGAACCGAAGAAGAGGAAGCAGCTTGTGAAATTTTCCGCGCTTTTCGAACAAACGGCTCTCTTTCTCTCTCTCTCTTTCTATTTCGAAATCTCACACACACAACAGCCGGCTTTGGCACGCGGCGAATTCGCTGTGATGAGAAGTAGAGAGAGAGAGAGATTGGGATTTCGAATAAAATATTGAGTTCGAATATCTTGTCAGTCGTCGCGCACACACACACACACACACCTACGCACTTACTACAATTCGGTTTTTGATAGAGCGCCGTTGCCGCTTTTCATTTATTACGTAGCATGGCGAAAACGAACAATCCAAAAAGGGGCGTTGGGTGGTGGGCGGCTGGGCGGGGGGAGTGGCATGGCCTGAAGGGGTGGTTGTAGGGTATAAAACACACGTTGGCGCCATTTGTGACGATTATTAAGTTAACGTGCTGGCGAATTTTAATTCGATTTTCATTTAGTGTCCTTCGGCACCTTCCCCCCACACCCATTTCCCCTCGAATTTCCCGTTAGGTGAAAATCGTAGCGATAATTTAATTTGCTCACCCGTTTTCGCTGCTTACAGCGCTTATTTATAAATATTTTCAACCGATTCGGCCCTGGGTAATTTTTAAATATAGAACTTTTTGCGTGACGCTTTGGCATTTCGATTGCGCGTTTTTGTTTTCAATTAAAGCGAAAATATTTGCTCCCCCGATTAAATTTCATTTTTTTTATTTTTCGAGATTACAGTTGGTTGCCAAGTGGATGTGGGTGTGTGGGTGTGTGTGCGAGTGCGGGACTGCAAGTGTGTGGTTGCCGTGTCTGGCGCTGTGTGACGTCAATCGATGCCAAAGTCACCGCTCTTCCCCTCTGACCTTCAGTTTTGACGCCATTTTATGCGGTCGGGGTCGCATTTCTGTTTTGGCCAGCGGTAATAACTGTCAGTTAGCGAAATGGGACTCGCACTCTATTATTTTTATTCGTGATTCGGTCGTTACTTCAGATATACATACTAAAAGTATAGGGATATAACTGAGTGTCAATTTGATATGTTATAATAAGGGTCTTTCGAACATGCTTAGGGGATTCCCTAACCTGTTGAACTGCTGAATTGTTGAATTTTGGTTCAACCAGCCAGCCATTTCATTTTCATAAATTTTAGCAATTCCACAACCTTTAAATTGGTAAATTCCTCAAAACCAGAGTTGTCATCTTGTTTCATTAAGAAGATACGGCAACTCTGTAACACTTGGTATTGGCACTAAGCATTATTTACTTTAAAATCAATTCAGAAAGGTTATTTTTAGAGTTAGTTCCTCACTCCTTATTCATAATTTTGGGCATTTACTTATAATGAAAAGTCAAATAGAAGCTGTTTTTATTTTTGAAAATTAGTCACAGCTGTTTAAAAATTCAACCAGCCAGCCATTTAGGGTGCTGAAATATTTTAATTTTGAGAATGTTAAGTTGATTTCATATAAGTTGTGTTTTCTTTTTTAAATTAACAAACTGAGTTAAAATTAAAATTGATTCTAGTTGAACTCACTATGTGTGTGAGCACCGCTTTTTGTTGTTATAAAACTAAATCATTGATGTTTTAAGTAATATAAACTAATACTCAATCTGTGATTTTTGTGTCTTAAAAGTGAATAATTAATTGGTCAAATGAAATATAATATGAAGGTACTTTGTTGGTAGACTTTACTAATAGATTGGATTTTATGCGCAAAACATTTTCTTTTTGTTTTATCCTGCAGATTGCAACTATAAAATTTATTATTTAAAACATATCCCCTTTTTACATATTATAATTCTAAAGTAAAAATAAACTGGGACCATCAATAACGACAATCAGAAACTGGTACAGTAGTAACGCACTCCCTAAATTACCGTTTTTTACAGCTCCACTACCAAATTTTTGCCAACCGGAGGCCTCTATAAATCCAAGCTTTCGACAGGCAATTCCTTAAAAATGCTAATTTGCAGCGGGACGGCTGGCAGAGCAGTAAAGCAGCTGTAACTGCCATCGCTGACGTGAATGAGGGATCAGCGGGGGCGCAGAAGCCATTTTATGGCCTGTCAGTCAGGGGCAGAAAATGAAACACGAACGGAGGCAGACTTCAGAGGCTGGCTCACAAAAAGCGACTCCGGATCCCAAAATCCAGAGTGACGGCCGACGAGCATAAAACCCGAAAATGGAGACCCAAGGAGGGAAGTGAGTGACGCCAAATGTCGGGAGGCTGATGGGCATGGCCCTGAAAGCTGTCAAAAACATTCGCCAGCCACTCTGGATGGGTGCAAATGAGTGGGGATCAGGAGGATGCAAGGATGGAGATTTAGTAATGTTTAAGAACACCGACGGTGGTGCTATTATTGCATAACTCTGTTTTGGGCCTATGAAGGGCTATTTCATCATGGACAATTATACATACATGTGTTCCATTTATTTTTTAGATACAAGTAAAAGGGACTCACCAGTTATATGAAATGTATCCACCACAAAACACTAAACAATTGACCAATACATTATGTTGTTGATTAACTGATTATATAAAGAAAACGCTAGGTAAGAATGCCGAATTTATATTAAAAGAAGTACAGCAACTACAACAACGCTCCTGCCGCCAAAAATGGCAAGAAGCCCGCTCCAGAGGATCTGGAGGACGATGCCGACCCGGTCAAAAGCGACGCCGAGCCGGAAGCTGAGGTAGAATACGAGGTGGAGGCCATCTTGGGCCAAAAGACGGTGAAGGGCGCTACCTACTTTCAGGTTCGCTGGAAGGGCAACACCAAGGCCGAGGACACATGGTACCGCATCAGATGGAAGGGCTTCGGTGCCAAGGACGACACCTGGGAGCCGGAGTCGAACCTCTCCTGCGAGGGCTTGATCGAGAAGTTCAAGCGCGACCTGGTCACGCAGAAGAACGTGGAATCCCCCAAGAAAACCGGACGCAACATGGTGAAGCCGGGCAAGAAGAAGGTGGTCGAGGAGCTGAGCCGCAAGAAGCTCGAGTCGCGCAAAAACGGTACCGCCCCGGAAAGCGACAACGAGGAGAAGGACATCGCCGGCTCCAATGGGGACACCGGCTCCTCGGTCTCACACTCCACAGCTGCCTCAACCTCGAGGAAGCCGCCAAACAAACGCAAGGCCCGCCCGTCGACCACTGTGTGCAATCTGGGCAAGCCCAAGGCCAACCCCGCTCCTGCCGCCAAAAATGGAAATCCCGAGCACTTTTGATGTTACTGTTACTGAAACAATAAATCGCTAAAAATAAAAACCCGAAGAGATAACAGCAGAAATTTTATATGAAAATCATATGTAAAAGTATTGATAGAAAAGATTTTCAATTTGATGTTCATTAAAAATATATAAGTACATTTTAGTTTTTAAAAACAGAGTCCCTCTCCAGTGGACGGGAACACGGAAATTACCAGCTGAATTCGAAAGCTGGGTTGAAAATGTATAAGTCCCATAGAACTTGTCTCTTTTACGAGGGAGTCGTTCTACGTTTGAAGTAAAGTTTCTGGCCCTGATTTTAATAGTGCAGTGATTAATTAATAATAATTCTTGCTAGAAAAGAAATAACATAAGGTGCAATAAAATGAGCACTGTTCAAGAGTTTTTTTTTTGAAAGCCATTAAATTTAGCGAGCTTTCTTCCGAAATTATTTCCGTTGAGCATTGGGACAGCGGCACGTTCAAAATGGAAGTCGGTCCAGAAAGTACAGGCAGCACACATTTTGACCCCAAGAAAAGCGACTAAGTACATTTTAGTTTTTGAAAACAGAGTCCCAAACCAGTTGAATTCGAAAGCTGGGTTGAAATTGTGTAAGTAAGTACCATAGAACTGGTCTCTTTTACGAGGGAGTCAGTAGTAAGTAAAGTCCGGTTTCCGTTTTAATACCTCAGTGATTAATCAATAATAATTCTTGCTAAAAAAGAAAGAACATAAGGTGCAATAAAATCAGCACTTTTCAAGTGTTTCATTTTTTTTGAAAGCCCCATTAAATTTAGCGAGGTTTCTTCCGAAATTATTTTCGTTGAGCATTGGGACAGCGGTACGTTCAAAATGGAAGTCGGTCCAGAAAGTACAGGCATCACACTTTTTGACCCCAAGAAAATGAAGGAAGAGAAGACAGGGGCCGACAGAGAGCACAGGAGAGAGAGCAAAGCAGAACAACCACCAAAAGTAAAAGGCAGAGAAAACCGGTTCCGATGACGAGCCGAAGAGAACGGTACGTGCGGCGAAATCGCAGAGGCGAAACATGGCAATTGGTCGGGTTTTTAGGCATTAAACACTGCAATTGGTCGGATTTGAAAAGCCGAAGAGCCACCGCGATGCCATAGGCTGCCGATTGTAGTGCGACTCAATGATTGGCCAGTAACTTCGATTTAATTCAGTAGTACTCGTTTTGGGCGTTTTCCGAGTTTGGGTGGTGGGTGGATGTTTTTCCCTTTTCTGGGGGAGACTTTTCGGGCCAGCATAAATGGAATATTGATTGATGGGCTAACCGGGTGGTTGAGGCGAATAAGCAGGAAATTGCCAAGCAATATACCAACGCCAAAAGTCTAGTAAATGGTGAAATGATTGAGAGACCCGAGCTTAATGACACTTTCTGCTCGGGTACAGTTGTGTTCGCCAAGCCTGAGCTGTTATCAAAGCCTAGCCTAAAGGCCAAGTCTTTTAATCATTTGGTAAACAAAAAAAAACCGTCACGTTTTCCCTTCATTATTCATTTGCGAACACGACAGAGAAGAAGACCAAACCACTTCCATTCAAAGTCAGCCATATGGAAAGATATCTTTTCAAACAAAGTGAGCAAAGAGCAGTCAAAACAAAGGGAATCGCGGTCCGTCGCTGCGTGTGTATGTATAACACGAACTCCTGGCATTTTCGGGGTTGTTCGACGGCAAGTGAAAGAAGCATTGTACTGCGACTAAAAGTACGGTGTACAGATTCTTAGAATAGAATATCTTCAGAAAAATTTTATAAAAAAGGGGTTAAAGTTGAACTTGTAAGCAACTCCAAAATAGAAAGCTCCACTTGTTGAGCACTTTGCAATGAAATAAATTTTTGTTATTCTTACAAGGTAAAAAACAAAAGCAATGCAAACAAAAAGCCATTATGTTGCTAAAGTTCTTTAAAGAATATTTATTCCTTTTACATGTAAAAAGTAAAATTCGTTAATGTTGTCCATTTGTTTTTTTTTTTAATAAACTAATTTTCTTTCATGTCAATTTAAAATTTTTTATGTCCCATTGATGTTTGTGTAGAAATAAATATAAAACTCCTACATATTCGTCTGGATTTTTTTTAAAATTATATTTATATATTTATATTTATATTTATATATTAGTATGAGATACGAAAAAATAGCAAATTAAAATATCTACAGTAAAATGAAGAACTTTTCTATAACATTTTTTTGTAGACTGTCAGGGGACCGCGGAATGTCAGTCAAATAATATAATATAATATATATCTAAAAATAGAGTACTTGTGGTCACACAACTATGTCGAAGACTTTGACATGAAAATGATAATTATCTGTCAAGTGTTCATATTAATGTGTTACGGATTCATAACAACATTGGTAATTGACATGATTTTGTATCCGAAGTGATAAACGTCAGCATAGTCTGCTGGAGGAGCAATAAATGCTAAAAACGATGCATATATGTTCCCCCTATGGTCCTTTTAAAACTTCAGTTCTTTAAATGTTTTAAAATACAATACCAGTTAGAACCGATTTAACCTTTTAGTATTTATATCACCATCCTTTTTTGAATATATTTACTTCTTAGGCAACAATTTGAGAGGTGTATGCGCCTTCTAATGGCTTTTTCTTTAGATAAATAATTTAATTTTTTGTACCAGTTCTTGCCCAGAAGGACATAAGCTGGAGGCTGGCCATTTCCTTAAAAAAAAGTATAGCAATACTTCTTTTTAAGACGAGACAATGTGCTGACTTTGTCGTTGGAAGGCTCCTTCGGTCTGCACCAATAACCAATAACAATTTCGATATATCGGCGCAAATGGAGTCCAAATGCATTTCCTTCTAAATAAAATCCCGAAACGATAAGTAGAAAAAACTCGTCAAAAATACTGAATAAAACACTGAAATACTAAATTGATTTGAGTGTGCGGTCCCATTTCCCGCTGAACCGAGTTATAGCGACTTTCTTCCGTCTCTTTTTAGCACGTGAATTTCTTATGGAAGAAAAAGTCGCTGAGGCGAAATTTGGTCACTGAAGCAAAAAACCCCTCTCTCCGAGTAAGCTATTAACGGGCATACGGAGTACTCGTCCCTATTCTAGTACTGGGAAAGCATCGATAACGACAATTTCGATTTTTCGAGGTTTTTCGCAAACTAATATTAGCCAATGATGATTAGCCCCATCATTTTAATTAGCTAGATTAAAAAGGGTATTCTTTATTAATTCTATTAATATTAGTTTCTGTATGTTGTTATGTATACATCAATTTTTTTTTTAAATATATAATAATAACAGAATATTATATAAAAACGTGTATAACTTTGCTTAGTTAATAGCAGTCCAGCCGCTAGACTTGAGATTAAATTGAATTCTTAATTTTGGTAATCTTCTAATTTTTCTAGATAAATAGAAGTTTATCAAAGACGTTTGGTTTAAGAGCGACCTGCGGTCACAAATGCCTTACAAAAATTCTCTCAGATTCTGTTGAATTCTGTTTAGGACACACAAAGCCTTTTATGCCAGTTTCGCCAGAACTGGCTGATCACGTTTACTGCTCTATACATATTTTTTATGTAATGAGAAAATAAGTTGTAATTACCCCCAATAATCTGGTGGGCTGAACATTTTTTACTTATTAATACATTTTGTTTTACCGCTTAAAGCTTAACTTTACCAGAAAACCGAGAAAGCTTTCATTTTGACGATTTTATTCTGCAAACTGAAGTTATTATTCACGTTTAATTATTTTTTATACCACTTTAAAATCAATCCGAAGTTAGCAGAGCTCCCTAGGAATACATACGTAAAATAAAATGAATAAAATATCGTTCTTCGATGTTTTTTCTGCATCTAATAAATATTAATCATTCGGTTTTGAAACATAGAGCAGCCCTGGTTAATACTGGTGACAAATACTGTAGCACACCCACTGTGCAGGTACGATCATATGGAAACTTGATCATACGGTTAGCCAAGACGGCAACCGTACTGTATGTGAAGTTAGGACACGAACCCCCATAGTTATCTGAGGGGTGTGTGAATAAATATACGTACCACAGTGTGAGGTATATGTACGAACTAACTTACCTACACGTACAAAAAACAAACGGCTTACATTAAAGTCTGGACCCAAACCATATTTTGATATTCTCAGAATTTATATTTATTAATTTAACTACAGCGATAGTAGCAATGAGCGCGGTTTCTTTTTTGCTACGAAAATGGTGTTAAAGATAAAGGAGAGGTTGGTGCTATCAGATCGGGTAAAATATGATTCATATCATACATTTTTTGACAACTAACCTTTTGAGGCTTTTTGCAATAGCTGGATGCTAGGCTTATTGCCAGCCTTTTTTAAAGACTTTCTGTCAGACTTATGCCAGGCTTTTCGTTAGGCTCATTTTTGCCATTCCTGTGCAGGGTCTATAGCCCTGCTTCATGATAGCCTTATTGATAGGCTTTTTCCAGGCCTATTACTAGGATTTTTTCAGGCCATTCTTTTTTTGTTTGCATTTTGCTAGGCTCCCTGCTTGGCTTTTTTGCTAAGTTTATTGATGGTCTCGTTGCTAATATTTTTGCCATTCTTTTTGACAGGCTTCGGCTAGGCTGGATTTGACAGGATTTTTTGCAATGTGACAATGAAGATGTTTTTTGGTGTAAATTGCATTTTATTTAATTTGTCAATATCTATCGGTGTTTCAAAAGTGGTTTAGGCCGGACCATTATATAATAAATTGAATTGGTCAGCTGAGTAACGGGTATATGATAGTCGACGAACTCGACTAAAGCGTTCTTCCTTATTTCGTTTTTATTTATAATTTAAAAATGTTCGCTATTATTCGTTATATAACTTTAATGTTATTTATAAAATCACGTTATCTTACGATTAAATACTTAGATTAAGAATTGGTGAAATAAAATGCGTTACCTAAATAACTATGTTACATTAATGTATACATTGTGTCTTAAAAGCATTTCAAAACATGTGAGCACAGATGGCTACGTGTCAAATAAATTAAAAAATCAACATTTTATTAAGGAGGTATAAAATTTAAATTTTATTATAATGTACTTACATCAACTTGGCCTTTCGTTAAATTATTAAATTAAATGCTTAATTTATAATTCAAAGGCAGAAAATACGCGTTATTTATTCTAAACGACTACTATAAATGATCATAGAATATAGTTTAAAGTTGTTATAAAGAACTTTACCGGTTTTACAAAAACTGGTTATATTGAAAACAAATATTTTTTAAATGTTCATTTCGTATTTATTAATACACAGTAAAGTAATATTTTGTTCGATTAATTTTTGTTCGCTGCAGCTTTGAATTCTACATTTCTACATTTCTTCTACATTTTGTTTAGAGATAGGCTTCCGCCTGCTCCTCGATCCAAGCGATGTGGGAGTTGACGCTGGTGTAGACTCCAGGGAACCCTTCCCTGCCGCATCCCACGCCCCAGGACACGATTCCCACAAGCACTCCGTCCACGGCCAATGGGCCACCGGAATCGCCATTGCAGGTATCCTTTCCACCTTCAAGATATCCGGCGCAGAGCATCTCATCGGTAACCGTGTATTCCTTGGTCAGATACTGAGCTCCACAGGTGTTCTTCTCTACGATCTCCAGCTCGACGGCACGCAGCATGGCGGGCAGAGCCTCATCCTCCTCTGTCCGCTTGCCCCATCCACTCACAACGGCATGGGCTCCCGACGGAGGAGCCTCCAAAGCCAAGGCGATGGGTTGCACCAGGGTCGAGTACTCCAACGGCTCCCGCGTGATAATCAGACCGATATCATTCACATACGTCTTCTTATTATAGCCCGAATGCGGGATCAGCTTGCTGACCTTCACACCCTGCTCCTCAAGATCGGCAATCGAGTTCTGACCGGCCACAACCCGGATGTAGGAGGCATAGCGTCCCTTGATGCAATGTGCGGCCGTGATCACAACCTTGGGGGCGTAGACACATCCTCCGCAGATGTGGAGAAGCATGTAGGTCTCCAGGCGAACAGAAACCTGGTAGGGATAGTCCGAGATGTCCGCCTGATCGCCACCCACGATGCGGGGGCTTATGGAGGCGGATTCCGCTAGGATAACCAGGCCAAGAAGCCCCAGAAGACACAGTTCCAACCGCAGTGACATTTTCCGAAAAACTTAAAAAGTGGTTCGATGGGGACTCTTTATATAGGGCCAAACTCACCTGCTTATCACTTATCACAAAACGACGAATTTAGCGATCATCCCCGATCCCCGATAGCAATTTTGGATTTTAATAAAATTCTGGCACGATATCGTAAAGTTTATAGGACTCACAGACCAATACGTTTTTTATATCCATTATAAACTGGGCGGTGGCTTCTAAAGACCTAATGACCACAAAGCCGCAAGAAAGCCAACTGACCAGTTAAGGGGAACCCAATGTGGATTATCAGCTAGTGGTTCAGTTGAGTCACTGGTCGGCCCTATTTCATTAGCCATTGAACTTTACTCGTCAGGACTGACTAAGTAGTCTAGTCTAAGCTGTAATCTTAGTTGCGAACTCAATGGAATCGTGTTTCCAGATAAGTGGCGTCGGAAATGTTAGCTGAGATTTATTTACTATAATAATCGGTGGTGCAAGGGTACTCACAAGAACAGTACAAGAAGCGATAGTCTAATCAAGCTGATAGCCATAATAATAATAGGTCTGTTAATAAAGATTATTTAAAACATGGCAACTACCTACTCATTAGGGTGGTGCGAAAAAGGGATTACTAGGAGATCAGTTTTCTAGATATAAAGAAAGATTTTCTACCTAAAATCTCAAAATCCAAGAGTATTTTTAATGAATGAATAACATAGTTTGTATGTCCGAGTTTTGCTAATAGCCCAAAATGGCCATTAGCAGCTAGCACAAACAGAAGCGATATACTAATCAGGTTGATACAGTGGCGGAACCAGAACTTGGTTGTGGGGGGATATAAATAAAATGTGTCGAGTAGAAATAAAAAATTTGGAATATAATACATAATACATATACTATTTAACTCGAGTAAGGGGGATCTATCCCCTATATCCGCCCAGCATATGGGTTGATAGCCATAACATTAACTGGTCTGCTAATAAAGATTCTTTAAGACAAGGCACTCACCTACTTATTAGGAGGGTACAAAAACGAATTAGTATAGTAACGGTAAGAGATTACATATCTTGGTATAAGTAAGTATATAGTTATTAAACCTCAAATCCCAAATTTAAAAGTAAATTTAATATTCCAATTATTAGGGTGGTCCAAAAAAGGATTAGCAATACTCAATAAAATACATGAGTTTATTTCTGTAATTTTATATTGTTCAACCTTAAAGTCTTTACAACAAGATTACATCTTAATATCAAATAAATATTGATATTTTTTTGTGTACGTAAAAACATGAAGAGATCGTATTTCTGGGTATAATAAAGACACCTAAAGAGCCAAATCCAGGAGAACATTGAATGAATGAATAAAAAGTAAATATATCCGAGTTCCGTAAACATCACAATGTGAGCATACGAGTCAGAAATTTCGCGGAAATAATTCCCGAATATAATTTTTAGAATTTATGATGACGTTAAAAGCCCGTGTGTTGGACTGCGCAAATTCTGACGACTAGATCGGTAAACACCAATGATTGATGTAATCAATGTCTTGAAGAGGCCCGTCTGACGGGCTGCATTTCCGAGCAAAGTTCGATCCCCTGGCACGCGTCTGGGGGAGATCTCCACCACTCAAATCGTTGAGACTGAAGTGCCACTGGAGGAATCGCGTAGGGTCTATGCCTTTCCAGGGGAGATGGTATGTACATACATCAAACAAGCGTAGATCCAGAGAGGGCACAAAACGGATAATTGATTGCCCCGCCACTTGGCCGGGGCATCCAGCATCACCGCCACTTCTAGCTACTTAGCACTTCGAGTGCCGACTAGTTGGCAATTACTACTTATACTCGATACTCTCGGGTATCTGGGAATTCGGGGACGGTGGCGGAGAGGAAGACGGAGACCCGGCTCACGTACGCTCTTTTTCGGCGGGTTTAAGCCGAGCTTGATCGGCCCAAAACGGTTATAAATAGACGCCGCCCGGCGGAGGTCCCGCATTTGCAGCTCATCAGTCGGCGAAAGTGACTCTGGATAACAATACCCAAAACGGATTTACCCACTAACCAACTTGACCGTCCATGTGCGGCTCCAAGCCAAGTGTTCGCGGCAAGGACTTGTGAATAAAGATTCGAACAATATATTCAAATACAGTGACTAAAAATGATTGTGGAAAAAGTGGTGAGTGAGAAAAGATGAAAGCATTTTGAAACGAAACAAATTTTAAAAGTACCTCTAAAGGTTCAAAAAAAATTTCATAAAAATCAAGAATATATATGCAAATGGTATTGATATTACAATTTTTTAAGCCAGCAAATATTAAATTGTGATTGGCCAAGGATATAACCAAGTATTAATATTATTAGTGCATGCTCTTACTATATATATAGTAACCTTGATAATAACATAATCAAACCCAAGACTTTATTTATGATTCAGAAAATGTATAATTGAAGATTAATCATTTTTAAATTTTTAAGAAAAATCAAAGTGCGAATATTATTTCATTGATAATTTATTCATAATTTTAGAAAAAAAATCAGTTTAAACCCAAGACATTATTTATGATTTAGTAAAACTATTATTGAAGATTAAACATTTTTAGATTTTTAGAAAAATCAAAGTGCGAATATTAGATCATTGATTTCAATTTAGTTTTTTATTGAATTTTCTCACCTATCTTAGTTGCTCAATTTATATATGAAACATTCTTAAACGGAATTATTCTTTTTCAAGAAATTAAGTACTAAAGATACTTAAGAAAACTAAAATCGTAACAAATACTGTAATTTAAATTCAGTTTTTCCATGAATTATCTCACCTGCCTTGGTTGCCCAGTTAGTAGATGAAACATTTTTAGCGGGAATTACTTTCGGGCGTTAGATTCCAGCAGGCCGTCTCGGCAAGTAGCATCTCGTTTCGGAAGACCATTATGATAATTTATGAAATTAGTGGTAAATAATCATGATGTATATTTATTAGTGAGCAGGTGCCAATTGGCGAGCAAACACGCGGGTTCTGCACACCTCACAGCCTGGATGTGCCGTGCCCAAAAAAACCGAAAAATATAAAAAGAAATAGAAGAGCGGAAGCCTTCTAAACGCTTCGCCGGACTTTGGTTAAATATTGAGCTGATTAAACAAAGGTTTTGGGGGTTGTTGGACCTTGTCTACGATCCCCTTGAGAGTTCCTAATTTGCCAACTATTTTCGGGGCAGCAGCAGGCGTGGGCGTTGTGGATCAGATCGAATCGTAGTTTCCTTCACCAGTATCTATCTGGGATACGTACCGTACTAAACCTAACCTAAAGCGTCAGAATAAATTTGTGAGATTTCCGAGATTCATGCCGAGATTCGATATCCGGCAGATGGGCACCATGCCCGCAAACACCGCTGGTCTGTGGAAGCGGGTGACCTTCCTGCTGGCCCTTCCGGCCATCGCCCTTTGCGCCCTGAACGCCTTCTCCGGCCACAAGCACGACGAGCGGGAGCCGTTCGCCAAGTACGAGTACCTCAGGCGCAGGACCAAGCGATTCCCCTGGGGCGACGGCAATCGCAGCCTGTTCCACAACGCCGAGGTCAATGCCCTGCCCGAGGGCTACGAGGACGAGGTGGCCGAGGAGGACTAGTCACCTCTTTTCCTATCCCGATATCGTTTTTCCCAACACTCTTCAATGGTAAGATCCATCTATCCGGATCCCTGGCCTGGTAATCTAACCTGTATCCCTCCAGAACAACCTTTGGTAATTTGATTTTTGGACTTGTAATTATTATTACATCACCTGTGTGGCCCCTCGTTTGCAGATTCTTCGCAAGTAATAAATTAATCATTGAGATCTGAGTCAGTCTGTGGTTTCACTTGGCCCTGAAACCTGTCGCATCTGGTTCGCTAATGGTTCGGGCTTTTACTCTCGCCCAGAACCAAACAATGAGTTATAGGAAGGGGCGTCGAGTGGTGTGTGGGAACTGGCCAAAACAAAAGATTGTCCCTGGAACTTTGGTCGGCCATCATCATTTGTCATGTTTTGTGCTCATCGCAACCTGTTGCACCACTGACACGAATGGGCCAAATAACACGTACATCTATAGGCGAGGTGGAAGTGCTTTAATCGATCTTTTAGGCACACGTACATACTCGCACATATCTGCTCCAAAGTCAGAGATCGCATCGCATGGATCGCATCGCCCATACGCCGTGTTGGCCCAAGCAATTCACACCGCAGTTAGATACATAACTTATACTTTCGTTGCGATTGCGATTACGATAGAGTGTGTTTGCCGAAAACTTGCGACATGCGCGGCAAGGGCAAGTTAAGTACTCCCAGCTTCCAAGTACAAATACCCAAGTGCTCCCAGATCCCCAGTTAATTAGACTCCAAATACGCCGAATAGTGCGTAGCTGATGAAGTGCGTTTCGAGAGCTTCGGTTCTCGATGGCAAACTAAATATTGACCCGTTTACAAATGCAATTATCTACATAACTTACTGACCAAGTGTTTCTTTATCACTTTATAATTACAGCTGGAACGCGCTACCAAGTCGGAGCTGTGCTCGATCCTGATCCTCGTGGTCATTAGCCTGAGTATCTACACCTTCTACGCCACCTTGAGTTCATATCTGAGATCGGTGATCTTATCGCTAAGGCTCACGGGTCCACCATCGCTCCCACTGTTGGGCAACTGCATGCTGGTCACGGATAAGGACTGTAAGATCCCTTAGTAAAAAACCCTACAGAAATTATCAGAAAGAATTCATATCTTTTTATACCCGTTACTCGTAGAGTAAAAGGGTATACTAGATTCGTCGGAAAGTATGTAACAGGCAGAAGGAAGCGTTTCCGACCCCATAAAGTATATATATTCTTGATCAGGATCACTAGCCGAGTCGATCTAGCCATGTCCGTCTGTCCGTCTGTCCGTCTGTCCGTCTGTCCGGATGAACGCTGAGATCTCGGAAACTATGGGAGCTAGGCTATTGAGATTTGGCGTGCAGATTCCTGAGCTTCCTACGCAGCGCAAGTTTGTTTCAGTAGACTGCCACGCCCACTCTAACGCCCACAAACCGCCCAAAACTGTGGCTCCTACAGTTTTGATGCTAGATAGAAAATTTTAACTGAAATGTATGTTCTCATCAATACCTATCGATTGACCCAAAAAAAAATTTGCCACGCCCACTTTAACGCCCACAAACAGCAAAACCCTGTGACGCCAACAATTTTCATGCTAGATAAAAAATTGTAACTGAAATGTATTGGTCTCGTCAATACCTATCGATTGATCCAAAAAAAAATTTGCCACGCCCACTTTAACGCCCACAAACCGCAAAACCCTGTGACGCCCACAATTTTCATGCTAGATAAAAAATTTTAACTGAAATGTATTGGTCTCGTCAATACCTATCGATTGATCCAAAAAAAAATTTGCCACGCCCACTCTAACGCCCATAACGCTTAAATCTGTACACCGCCGGTAGGTGGCGCATTTTAATCTCGCTTTGCTGCTTGCATACCTCCATTTAGCTGAGTAACGGGTATCTGATAGTCGAGGTACTCGACTATAGCGTTCTCCCTTGTTTTTTATCTACTGCTACATAAATCTCATAAAATCAAAAATCAAATGATATTCATTAAGAATTCGCTATATAAAAACGATTGTAACGATTTTTAGTCAGCATGTTAAACTTAAAATTAGTTTAAATACTTTTTTAACGTATTATGTTTTGAGTTTAAAACCCACTTTTAGTTTAATAATACAATTTCATTACGAATATGTAGAGTATGTGAAATCAGATTAATTCTTTAAACCCCTTCTTGCAGTGATGAATAAATGCGCTGGAAAAGCCTTTGATCTATATGGATCGCTGGTGCGGATCTGGGTGCTCCTCTTTCCCTTCTTTGCCGTACTGGAGCCGGAGGACCTGCAGGTTATACTCTCCTCCAAGAAACACACCAACAAAGTGTTCTTCTACCGACTGATGCACAACTTTCTGGGAGACGGACTGATAACCAGCAGTGGCTCCAAGTGGAGTAACCATCGCCGGCTGATCCAACCAGCCTTTCATCACAGCCTGTTGGAGAAGTTCATAGACACTTTTGTGGATGCCTCCCAGTCGCTGTACGAGAACCTGGATGCCTCCGCCGTGGGCACAGAGATCAATATCGCCAAATATGTGAACAGCTGTGTGCTGGACATACTCAATGGTGAGTCTCCAGGAGATTCCTTGAAAGATTTCGCTTATTAAATCTTTAAACCATTCACAGAGGCCGTTTTGGGAGTGCCCATCAAGAAAAAGGGCCAGGAGGCGGTCAGCATGGAGGATTCACCCTTCCGCCAGGGCAAGCTTATGATGCCCACGCGGTTTACCCATCCCTGGCTGCTGCTGGACGGGATATACCACTGGACCAAGATGGCCAACGAAGAGCTCAACCAGAAGAAGCGCCTGAATGACTTTACTCGCCAGATGATCCAGCGACGTCGTCATATCCAAAACAATAACAACGGGAATGGCGAGCGAAAGTGCCTGCTGGACCACATGATAGAGATCTCCGAAAGCAATCCGGACTTCACGGAGGAGGATATCGTCAACGAGGCCTGCACCTTCATGCTGGCTGGCCAGGATTCGGTGGGCGCTGCCGTGGCCTTCACCCTCTTTCTGCTCACTCAGAATCCCGAGTGCCAGGAACGCTGTCTCCAGGAGCTGGAGACCATCTTTGGGGGCAGTAACAGGGCTCCCTCGATGACTGACCTGCACGAGATGCGCTACATGGAGATGTGCATCAAGGAGGCACTGCGTCTGTACCCCAGTGTCCCGCTGATTGCCCGCAAGCTGGGCGAGGAGGTTCGCTTGGCGAATCACACTCTGCCCGCCGGCAGCAACGTCTTCATCTGCCCCTATGCCACCCATCGTCTTGCCCGCATCTATCCCGATCCGGAGAAGTTCCTGCCGGAGAGATTTTCGCCGGAGAACTCAGAGAACCGCCACCCGTACGCCTTCATTCCGTTCAGCGCCGGACCGAGGTACTGCATCGGCAACCGGTTCGCCATCATGGAGATCAAGACCATTGTGTCGCGGTTGCTGCGCAGCTTCCAGTTGCTCCCAGTCCCCGGGAAGACCACCATTGCGGCCACCTTCCGGATCACGCTGAGAGCCTCCGGCGGACTGTGGGTGCGCCTCAAGCCCCGTGATCATCCGCTAACCGATCACTGATTTTTGATCCACTTTCGTTACATTAACTTTAATTAGTATGGTAAATATGTATATAAATCGATACAATAATTTAAACACTTAGCTGCCTCTAGCCTAAGTACAGTCCCTCTGACTGGAGGGAGTGCATCCACCTGGATGCCGACATATCCTACTGTGAGTGTGGGGTTGGGTGTGCACTGTGTGTTGTGGATCCTGGACTGTGGGTGCGTTCTGATCCGCAGTCGCTTCGCATTCGCTTCATATTCGAGTGTTCGTAGAGTTTCTCTGGGGTTTCTTGCTTAACAATGCTATATCTGCTAAATCTGTAATAAAGTTATGTTGGTCGCCATTTAACCGACTTAGTCTAGGACGTGATATGCTGCGTTTCGTTGTTGAATCGGTTGATGAGACGTCGAGCGCGTGATTCGCGACCTGTCTCCGTGTTCGCCGCGTTCCCATTGCCATTACCATTGCCAATACTTTTGGCATTGCCGAACTGCCGCTGAGCACTGGCCACCGTGTGCTGTTGGGCAAGTCGCTCGGCGGCCTCGCGGACCCGCTGGCTCATCAGCCGCGTCGGCGTGGCGGATCGCTGGGGCAGCGGAGAGCTGGGCATGGATCGCGCCTGAGGAGGTCTGCCTTTAGAGGATCCACTGGGCAGGCTGGAAGCGGTGCCTCGTCCTGTTTTCCTCGACTCCTCTGCTGTAACACATAAAAAACAGGGGGTTAATCAAGCAGTGGGTTTTAAAGATGAGCCCCAAACGGATCATGATCATATTGCAGGGTCAGTATGTCCTTACCCATCGACTATTTTAAAAATCTTTGAATATGTTGTTTACTATTTTAAAAACGATAAGGTTATGGCTTGACCTATTTGTCATCGTGAGTAAATTAAATGGATTTATCTATACAGTCAAATAAAAATGTTAGTAAGCTGATAAAAACAAGTGGAACAGTAAGAGCCATTATCTGCATATTGAATTAAAAATTTCGTATTTTATATAAAAGTTAAGTACAATAAAACAATATTAAATGGGTTGATTGAATATAAAAATATTAGAATAAGGGTAGAAGGTATTTGTAATTAGTAAGACATTTACTTACGGCATTTTATAAGGTCAAAATTTGTAAGTCCCTGAGTTAAATATATTTGTTAAATGTAATATTTCCATATATAAATTAAATAATGAAATGGATGAAAACCATAGCGGATAATAATTAATTTTTAAATGTAAGAGATAATATTGTAGAAATTGTTTGATTTAAGTGATGTCATTTTCATGATTGAAGTTATTTACTGGTCAGCAATTATAATTGTAAAACCCAAAAAATACATTCAGATTAGTTCCCTGTTTAATGTTATTGTTTTCAAAACTGTAGGCAATACGTTCAAGATCCGTTTGGGGTCATGGGACAAAGTTACTTCTACTGATGCGTCCCACACTCGCCACCTTGGCTATTTTGAAGGGCTCAAAGGCAAGCGGAGGTTTGTTAGCAGCGGATGCGGATGCAGAAGCAGGAGCAGGGGACACCTGGAACCTGTCCTTCAGCTGGGACACCTTCAGCTTGGACTCACACAGAGGCTTGACCTGGGGCTTGGCCTTTGGCTTCTCCCGGGCGGCACTGTCCTCCAGTGACTTTTTACGCATCTTGATGGTGTTGGTGAAGTCGGAGCGCATGATGGCCTCGCCACCCTTGGCGGGCAGTTCCAGGGTGACAGGGTGAAGCTCCGTGTCCTGGACAACGGTGGGCGAGGAGGAGCTCGCCTTGGCAATCGCCTCCAGCTTTGATTTGGCCAACGAGAGCAGCAGCGTCTCCTGGGCTCCACTGCAATTGGAGCACTCGCTGTAGCCGGAGTCACTTCGCTCACTACACTGTGATTTATCGCGCAGCTTAAGTACGGTACGCTTCTCCACTGGTGGCATCTCCACGCTGAAGTCGTCCTCCTCCTCGTGGAGGGAAGTCATCTGGGAGCTCATCCCAATGCCAATGGCACTGGCCGTCAGCATGCTCAGACCCGAAATCGAGGGCCTCGGACTACTCAGTGCGCCCATCGCAATGGCAGAGTTCCTTCGCGACACCGACAAACTGGCCATGCGTCCAAGAGCACGGATGGCATTGCCCGTTTTCTGGAGGATTAGCAGGAGCAGCAGCAGCAGGAGCAGCAAGCAACAGCGGGCAGGGTTAAAAAGGTAGCAGCACTGGGTTAGGATCTTAGAGAGCAGCAGGATAAAGCATTTACTAACCTGCCACTTGCGCCGAATGATGAACTTCTTCAGCTTGTCCGTGCAGATCTTATTGTTACTGAGATGGTCATCGTGACGCTGGCACAGCCACTTGGACTCCAGGCACTGCTGGGCGGTCAGGCGCTCCTCCTTTCGGTGCACCAGCAACTGTGAGATAAAGTCCTTGGCCTCCTGGGAACTATTAAGAAAGGCACACATAAGTAAGAGTAATAGATGATATTGTGATTTCTTCAGAGCAAGAGGATTCTATTTAGCCAAGGTAACAAGTTACAAGTTTTAACAATGGTTATATTTACTATTCTGACAAGTTTGATAGGTTTTATTATATAGGGCATTGGATTGATTAATGGATAACATAAGTCCGCGAATTTTTTAGAAATGGAAACAACATTTTCCAAAAATTTTAAAGATATCATGGACGTATATTAACATGTCAATTTGTTGGCGATGGTACAATACAACTCATACGATTTTGCCAAATTCATTTTTAATGTATACATCTTAAGGGTTACTATATCATTTGACTTACACGCAGTCGAAGGCCTCGTCATCGTAGTCATAATCGGCTCTTGTAATATTCGAGAAGGTTTCCACATCGGTGTCGCCCATGAAGGGAGAGAGACCCGATAGCCTGGAAAGAACAGAGTCACAGAGAAACTTAACCAATAACCCAGATTCAAAACTCACAGCACATAGCAGATGACACCCACGCTCCACATATCGGACTTAAATCCAATGGGTTCGTAGCTAATGATCTCTGGTGGTATAAACTCCGGTGTTCCAAAGAGAACGCGGACGGGGGCTTTCGTATCCAGCCGTTGGGCCAGGCCAAAGTCAATGATCTTGATCTGGTGGCTGGTTCGAGTATGGCACATAATGTTCTCGGGCTTCAGGTCCAGATGCACCACACTCTGGCTGTGCATGTAGGCCACTCCATCGCAGACCTGTCGCAGGAACAGGATGCAGTCCATTTCGGTCAGGGTGAAGTCGTCAGCCACCACGCGTTCAAATAGCTCACCGCCAGTAATGCTGGGGAATTATACAAGATGAGTGGGGATCTTGTTATAAAGGCAATCCTTTATACTCACTACTCCATCACCATGACAATCTCCCTGGGACTTTCGAAGGAGGCTGCTAGTTGGAGCAGTTTCGGATGCTGCAGCGAACGCATGATGGAGATCTCTTCGAGCACCTTCTGCCGATCCTGTGACTTGATGCACTTAATCACCTTGGCGGCCAGCAGTTGCTCCGGCTGACCGCGCTCCTGCACCTTGTAGACGATGCCAAAGCGTCCTTTGCCCAGCTCCTCGATGATCTCGAAACGCGACTTAAAGTCTCCGCCGGACTGGACGCTCACCGACTGGCCGAAAAGATCGGTAACATCCGCTGTAGTCCTCTGTGGCTTGCTGGTGATCTGCACCAGTTCGCTGGCCTGACCGGGTTCACTGCGTCCGTGGATATTTTCAGCACGAATCCTGAATCGGTACTGCATCTGCGGCTGGAGGTTCTTGACGGTGTAAGCCAGGGTGTCCACCACGCGGGTCACCTGCTTCCAGTTATCCTTATCACAGTCCTCACCAATGGTCTGCATCTCAACGCTAGGGGTTTACAGAGGATGTGAGTGATCAGCTCTTAAGGGGGCTCTACTGCAGGATACTCACATGAAGCCCGTGATCATACAGCCACCGTCGTAGGGGGGACCACACCAGGCCACTGCCACTCGATCTGGTCCCAGGGAGACGCTGGGTTGGCCACTGGGTGGCTCTGGAGGACCTTCAACTGCTACTGAGGCAGCCGAAGCCTCCACGCCGTAGTCGTTCATCACCTCTACCGTGTACTTGCCACTGTCGTCCGCCGAGATGTCCGTGATATAGAGCGTCGACTGTTGGCCCGAAGTCCGGATCGTCACATTGGAGCTCTCAACAATGGGATGGCACTGTGGGGAGAAGAGAGATTTGTGTGAGAAAATGAGAAAGGCACAGGGGAAAAGAAGATTTACCAAAGGGGCTGAGGGGTTACTATATTATAATTAAGATTTAATTTTCCTAAATGATTAACATCTTTAAGGTTTCGAGTAAAAGTCTCTGTATTACAAAGAACAATTGATAAGAAATATTACTAGTTTTGATAAATACACGAAGAATTACAGTTCTGAATATTAATTTCAGTTTTATTTGTTGATGAAGATAGAAAATCGAAGAATTACATTTTTCAATATCAATTTAACACTATTCAGCACATCAAATGGCTCCTGATATTTATCTCTGTACGGTTTAAGTAATTTTTGTGCAAATATATTGTTTACACTGCCTTTAGTGTGAAAGTTAGATAAATTTGGTGCCTCTTCAAGATAAAAGAATGACGAATAACTCAATTTCGGGGTGATTTATTTGGTAGTGTACCTCAAGCTCTGGCAGCCAACCTTCGCTGGTGCGACTCGCCCAGCATTTGCGGTTTGCAACCATTACGTAGCCAGTCTAGGCAACCCAAGCAGCCCAACTAGCCCAGCGAACCCAAGCCCGACCGAACAACACCGCAAACTGATCGTGACACAGTCACAACAATCGGAGACCTAGGCTAAATGCCCAAAGCGAGACAGTGAGCTATCGAGATAGGGTGCAGAGTGGGCTTATGGCAGATAAAGAATATGGAATATGTGGATCCATAATCCCCTGGTCTGCCTGCTTTGGCCAAATTGGGTCAAGATTGCACAACACCTCGCTCCGGCTCGAAACCGGACCAATTACCATAAGCCTACTGCCTCACAATGATATGGGTATTTCTATATTTATAAACCCCTTTTGAGGACTTACCGCCTTGTACCAGATGACTTTGGTGCCCGGGAATGGCTCGTAGCGAACGCTCAGCCGAACATGTCCACCGATGAGGGCGGTGCAGTCCTCGGGGCGTCTCAAAATGCAGCTTCTGGCCGCCAGCGAGGAGCTGGAGCTGTTGCCCCTGATGGCGGGCAGTACCAGGAGGGTGGTGTAAGTACGGGTGGCGGGGATGCGCCGGGTTTCCGCCTGGGGGTGCTTCACCTGCAGGCAGATCTCTCCGCTCCTTGAAGCGGTGACGTCGCGCATGCGCAGAAGCCGAATGCCGTTCTCTGGATAAGACTCCAACTAAAGAAAGGGTAGAGAACATATGGAGGATTAGCTAGGAATCTTATATACACTGGGGAAAAGTAATAAAGTTCTTAATTAAAGAATAATTACTTTTTTAAGTGAAGCAAATTATTGGGCTTTCTCAAAGCTTTATTAATTGATATTTTATTGAGCCATAAATATAATCAAGAATATTGTTATTGATAGATATTTTTTAAAAAAAAAGGTTGGTTTTTTAGTTGGGAGAGTGGTTTTTAAATATCTTTTAGCGTATTGAAAGGCCAACGTAAATATCTTATGAAAAGGGAAATTGGTTCCATCAAATATTTACTTATGTGTTAATTGAATTCAAAGTGTGTCAAGCGAAGCGAAGAGACCTTTAAAGATGTTTTTAAAAAGAAAATAACTTAGTTATAGGTTTACAAATAATTAACATGATTCCACTTTGTTTGTTATATAAAAGTACAAAACGGAGATATTTGAAAGCACGCCACTATATATCTTTTACGACCCACTTTATAATACTTTTGGGATAAGCAATGAAGTACAGTGATTCAACGACAACACTTCTGTTAACTTTTTGTTCTTTGAACTCTTTTCTCAGTGTAACCCGTTCACATGGGTAAACAATTATATACTGTGTGCACAAGTGTCTGGAGAGGAGAGGGAGCGACCGATCCGATCCGGGACCGAAGCAGACTATAGTGACGCGACGCCAACTGAGGTTGCTATAGAACTGAAAGGCCTCTCCGTGGCACGCACCAATTAAGCGAGCACCGAGAACGGAGAACGGAGACGGAGAATCGGGAACGGGAATGGGACCCCGAGCGGACCTCGCCAAACGGAATTCCATGAGCGGCGACCGAACGATCGTGACAATGACACTTTCACGCCCGCTCTCATTTTCATTGGAGCACAAACCTTATCGAAGGGGGATAGTTATAGAGGGCTCAGGCCGGGCGAATGAATGCCAGCGACATTGATACACTCGCACTCGGATGCAAGTGCAATCGAATTGCTTCGCCTACCTGTGACATCTTGTCACGCCCTTGCTTTCGATTGATATTCCGATTGAGATTGAGATTGGGACTTTGGCCTGCCCAAGCATCTGGATCGGGGGTGTATCCGTATCTGATAGTTGCGAATTTTCGGGTCTAAAAACCGGGGACCGAGGGCACCGAGATGTGCGCCGCTTGAGCGCCGACGAACGAATGTTTCCCCAGCAAAGGCGACATCGTTGGCATGCAGCTCGCTTGCCGGCGTATTTCAATCTTCGCTTTTGGGCCTCCAATATGTGCGGCTTATGCAAATGAGCATGCTCTCACACACTCCGACTCTGGCCCGATATACACACAATTATTATTATTGTTTTCTCCGCCAAAAGTGCGAACAAGCAGCCTGCGGCAAGGCAAGAGTCGAAATGAAGAGCTCTGTTTTTGCGTTTTGGGGCCAATCGCTCTGTTCGGGTTTTATTACGTTTATTACGCATACGCACCGTCATGTTAAGTGAGTCATCCGAGTGGGCCAAAAGTTGCCCGTTGAGGTACCATTCGGCTTCCGCTTGGCAGGGGAAAACACGGGCGTAGAACAGGGCTTCCTCTCCGGAGCCGCAGACAACCGGAAGTGGGGACTTCAGGAGCTGGACACACTCCTCATCCTGCCCGCGAAGATCCCGCTCCAGAACGCACAGCTCCCCGCTGGTGCTGCAGTCACATCCGCTGGAGATGGACAGGACATCGGAGTGGCAGGCGGGGCTCCAGTTACAGTTCCAGGTGGAGGCGGAGTCATTGATTCCGCTGGTAAACACCTGGCAGCTGTAGATGCCCGAGTCAATGTCGAAGGCGTCGTTGATTCGCAGGCACAGACGTCCATTGCCGTGATCAATGTAACTGCAATAAGTATTAATACAAGTGCGATAAATAGTTGTCGCTGCGTATGGCGAACACAAAGGGAGAAACGCTACGTTGTTATTCAATCGAGGCTAATCGTTCGAAAATGGGTGCTTATAAAACACTCAGTTGCGGTCAGCACATTTACATTGTTCTCACAAATTAATTGAAGTGAATAATATTACTATATTGTAGGTTTATTACTACATTGTAGGTTTAAATGGTTCTCTAAATGGTCTTTTCATAATTAAAACGATACAGATTTTATATTAAATCAGTTCGTTTCGACGTAGTTCAGCCAAGAAGGGCTGTATAAAAAATAATATCTATAATAAACAAAATTAAAAATATTTACTCTATAGTCATTTTTTAACGTATTTTGTATCTATGCGGTTGTAGTCTAAAAATATTTTGAGTCTCCATAAACTTTAATTTAATTAGTTTAATAATTGGTGGGATGTATTCAATAACAAATACTCTATAAATATTTATAAACAACATTTGTAATCAATTGGAGTTAAAAATATTTGTAATGTTTAAATAAGAAATCAAATAAATTTATGTAACAACGATTTGTATATGTCGGAGAACGAGTATCTGCAAGCACAACCCATGGTCAGACCTTAAAGACTTTACTTCCTCTCCGTCATATATTATATATTCATAAACAAAATGTATGATCAATTACAGGTACTTCATCAGATATACTCACTTGAACTCATCACTGTCCGGTAGAATTTCGCCATTTCGCAGCCACACGTAGCTGTAGGGCTCGTCGCAATCGATTGCGCAGCACAGATCGATCACCTCGCCCTCAAGCGATTTAGTAATCTCAGGCAGTGGTTCCGTGATGACGGCGCGACGCCTCAGAATCTCCGTATTTGGTTCGTGGAAGGTGACTGCGGTGGAACTGATGAGGGGATCGTGGTCGCCGCTAATGATGCAGGTGTACAGGCCCTCGTCCTCTCGCGTCACATTGTCCACGATCAGCAGGGCCATCGACTCCTCCTCCTGCAGCAGAATGTGCACTCGCTCCGACTCCTCCAACTCCACGTTGTTGTGGTAGAACCTCACCGAGGGCACTGAGGAGCCCCGATAGCCACTTGCCAGAGCCATGCGTCCGCCAATTGCTGTGGGATTTAAGTAGGATATGTATTTAGATGAAAGCACAGAATAGTAAGCTTTTCTATGATCATTAAATAGAGTAAGCAATTGCTAGAATGGAATTCAATAAAAACTACTATATAAGCTCTTAAACAATCTCTTTTTATCTCTTTAGTCATAGGAATGAATCGATCTTGTTTATAGTGTTAGCTAAAACAATTAATCTTATTAAATTGACGATGAAAAGACATTACCAAAGATACCAAGATAATTTTTTTTAAATAATTCGAACCAAAGTACTTCAAACTAAGTAAATCGTTTGGATTGCAAGACTATTTTCATCTCAAAAAACAAAATCGTCTCTTTTTAAAAATCGGTTAATAAAAAAAACCACTTGTGAGCTCTTTCATCTTCATTTAAAATACGTTTCTTTTCAAATAAATAAGAAGACGAAATCTAAAATTGAGATTATTTGATCTTACGCGGTTTGATCTTTTTTTGTACCTAATTTTTATAAAGTCTATTTATTTTACACCAAATGAAAGAGAAGTTAAGTTTCACTTACCTGTGGATGGACCCATGATGCGCCTGTACAAGTGGGCGTTTCGGCGGGAGGAGGAGGCGCGCACACTGCGCACGGAGGGCGACTTGGAGTAGCGGGAGCTGCGGATGACATCCAAGCGAGCGGTGGCCTCGATCCGCCCGAAGTCGTTCTCCAGCGTGACGCGGTACAGGCCCGCATCGTCGAAGGACACCTCATCGATCTCGATGATGCGGAGGTCGTCGATCTCCTTGACGGCGATGCGCGGCGTGGGCGTGACAATCAGGCCGTCCTTGTCCCAGGTGGCCCACGGCGTGGGATGTCCGGAGATGGCGCACTGGAAGCGCACGCTGTCGCCCTCCTCGACCACGCGGTTGTAGGGGATGGCGAGGAACTTGGGCGCCGTGATGGCATTGCGGGCGTCACTTCGCCTGCGCTCCGAAATTCCGGACAGATCGATGCTGCTGGTGCGGTAGGATAGACGAAGCGGGGAGAAGCTCCTGGCGGGTGTCGATCTCGGCGTGGAACGGGGCGTGGAGTGGGCGGAGAGCAGGCCACTTGGACGCGTTAGCTGGCGACTCAGCATGTTCTCCTTCTCCTCGGGCACGTCCACGATGATGCAGGCGGAGGAGAGGCTGCGGCCCACCGAGTTCTTCGCCACGCACGTGTACTCGCCCTCGTCCTCGGGATACACGCGCGGAATGCTCAGCGTGGCCTTCGTGCCATCGAAGGACATCACGTAGTCCCGATCGCTGGGCACCACGTGCCCGTCCTTCTCCCAGATGATGAACGGCTCCGGATCGGCCTCGACGTGACACTCCAGCGATATCGCATCCCCATCGCAACAGCGCAGGTTTCGCAGGTTGCGAACGAATCGGGGAAGGGTCTCGATGTTGCTGTGGAGTATTAATAATAGTGTTACTATTTTTTATTCTGATAAAATTTAGCCTAGCCACTATTACAGTGGTGCTTATATACTTAAGCCACAAGACTTCAACCAAAAATTTAAACGAAAATTAAGAAAAGTTTTTATTTCACAGCTCCAATTTTTTGTGTCACATTTGTTCTATATATCAGTGTTCTAATAGAAGAATAACCAAGTTATAAAAATATACATTCAACGAAAAACTTAAAAAATCTGAGACCATCTCCAAAATGTCCTGCTCACATACTTAAGCCACCTGGAACATATTGGTTGAAAAAGTTAAAATTTTCCCAATATTCCTTATACTTTTAATAAATTTACTTCAATATTGAGTGGGATGACCTTTCTGCTTAAGAAGAGCGGAGCAACGCTTTGGCACTGAGTCCACAAGACGTGCGCACTGTTGATGGGTGATTTTCTTCCACTCTTCTTGCAAAACTCGCCACAAATCGTTTTTATTTGCTGGTTTTTTTTTGGCCAACGACTTGTTTAACAATTCCCTACAAGTTCTCTATAGAGTTAAAGTCGGGGCTCTGCGGTGGCCATTGCAAAACATAGATTAAGCCTTGACTTGACTATTTTGCTGGTGTGTTTCGGGTCGTTCTCCTGTTGAAACATCCAGACAAGTGGCAAATTATCGGCATATTCTCCAGATAAATTGTTAACAAGGATGTCCCTGTCCATTTCGCCGTCTTCCCTAGGAGACCTACGCCCGATGCGGTGAAACAGCCCCAGACCATAATCGAAGCCCCACCATGTTTAATAGTCTTCTTCGTGTATTTGGGGTCCAATTGTTTGTTGGGAGAACGTCGTACATATGGTTTACCATCACTCCCAAAGACATTAAACTTGCATTCGTCGCTCCAAACAATCATGTTCCAAAAATTGGGACCTTTTTGAATATGCTCTCTGGCGAATTGAAGGCGCTTTTTAACATTTTTAATTGACAGCAATGGTTTTTTTAGGCAATGCGTCCATATAACCCAAATTCATTTAGCCGTCTTCTTATGGTCTGAGTTGACACATTCACGCCATAATCTGCCACCATTTGACCCCTGATTTGCGTCCAAGTCTAGAACAGATCGGCTTTACTGATTTTGGAAATCCGTCTATCGTCGTTTAAAGTGGTTTTTCTGGGCTTTTCACGTGGAACACTTTCCCAGGTTCCATGTTTCTTATAAAATGCAATCGCATTTCTGACTTGGCCACGCGAAAAATGTAAAGTCTTACAAATTTGTAGAATATTTGTGTTTTTCTTTCGGCCGAATTTGAATTCTTATTTTTAGCCATAGCGGTCAAATTGTTTTCGGAAACGTATTTAGTATTCAATACTTTAGTTTAGAAAATAACTAGCACAACTTTTCCGGAAAAAACACAAGTTTGACGATTTTAGCTCAAGGTGGCTTAAGTATATGAGCAGAGCACAATACTCCTTTTTGACATTTAGTCAATTTTTTGGAAAATACGAATACCTACTTGTCATTATACCCGTTACTCGTAGAGTAAAAGGGTATACTAGATTCGTCGGAAAGTATGTAACAGGCAGAAGGAAGCGTTTCCGACCCCATAAGTATATATATTCTTGATCAGGATCACTAGCCGAGTCGATCTAGCCATGTCCGTCTGTCCGTCTGTCCGTCTGACCGTCTGTCCGTCTGTCCGTCTGTCCGGATGAACGCTGAGATCTCGGAAACTATGAGAGCTAGGCTATTGAGATTTGGCGTGCAGATTCCTGAGCTTCTTACGCAGCGCAAGTTTGTTTCAGTAGACTGCCACGCCCACTCTAACGCCCACAAACCGCCCAAAACTGTGGCTCCTACAGTTTTGATGCTAGATAGAAAATTTTAACTGAAATGTAATGTTCTCATCAATACCTATCGATTGACCCAAAAAAAAGTTTGCCACGCCCACTTTAACGCCCACAAACCGCAAAAACCTGTGACGCCCACAATTTTCATGCTAGATAAAAAATTGTAACTGAAATGTATTGGTCTCGTCAATACCTATCGATTGATCCAAAAAAAAATTTGCCACGCCCACTCTAACGCCCATAACGCTTAAATCTGTATACCGCCGGTAGGTGGCGCATTTTAATCTCGCTTTGCTGCTTGCATATCTCCATTTAGCTGAGTAACGGGTATCTGATAGTCGAGGTACTCGACTATAGCGTTCTCCCTTGTTTTTTACTGTGATCAGATGCTTAAATAACAGTGTTGCAAAATGCAAAAATTTCAGGCCGAAATAAATATGTTCAAAAAAGTTATTAAGAAAGCAGTTTATGGTAGTGTCAGTGGCTTAAGTCTATGAGCACCACTGTATGTGTATTTCAGTTCAGAAGTCAGGACTAATAGGATTATCCACAACACATTTGAAAAAAAAGAGACAATCTCCTTTCTTCTTAATTTGTCACTTGTTATAGTTAGGCTTTTAAATTATTACACCCATTTGTGCAAATATTGCCTTAAGTACTTTTTACTTGTCTTATGAATCAAGATGAACTCACCCATGTCTCGTGTGCACTTTATCCATGCGGCTTTTGTTGAGTATATCTGGTAAAAGTAAAGACAAAAAGACAAAGGAATTTAAAAATTGGCGCCAATTAAAAACTGCTTGCTACAAGACAAGCAGTTTACAAGGTTGGTATCTTTGCTGAGCCTCGATATCTCATCAACCGATAGCACTTATCGACATTTTACCTGCTCTAACAACCAATCCAATGTATATTTTTAGCAAAGTTTTTTCCTTGTTTTCTTGCTGAATTTCGGTCATAGTTATAATATGAGGGGCATGATTATAGTGCCCATGGACCTGGAGCCCGGCTTCCGCAAGGCAGACATACACAATATACCCACTCTAAACAGCGGAATGGTGTTCAATTTCTGCCTATCTGCCGCCTCTGACAAAACAAAACAAATGTGAGTTCCGTCCCTTTCGCACTTGTGTGATATATTAAATATATTCCATTTCTCCCCTTAGTTCCACGGAAAAAAGTGATCTTTTAACGGACTATGTTCAGATGAGGAGGCATGGCGAAACCTGCGAACTAAAGGGACTCGTATTCCCCGCCTCCGACTTTGCCAACACGGAATCCCACGCCAATGTGGCGCTCAAGGTCGTGGAAAGTGCCCGGATCATCACGGATGGCCAGTGCAGCCTGTGCCCCACATCTGGTTAGGATTACCCTCTGGCAGGGAATTGAAAGTTTCTAATATATATACTCATTCAGGTACCTGTGCCCACATTGTGGCCTTCACCTTCTGGCTGCTAAACAAAAGCACCGACCGAAACCCCTCCGCTGTGGTGCAGTTTTGGGGCCACGAACTGGAAAACCTGGTGCAACCGGAGCCCACGACGGCCACTCGCATATGTGACATGATACCCAAGGACGAGGTGCGACTGGAGAGCGAACTGAATTCCAAGGAGCTGAGCGCCAGCGAGGGACAGGCTGTCCTGGAGACCGTTCTAGAGGAACTTGCCACCTGTGGCAGGGATTCCGCTCTCTATCGCCAATGTGTGGACACCACCGATGAGTTCGAGCCCCTGTTCGTTCACCATGCGCTGCTCAGGGCAGCAGAGTACAACATCGTCGATCTGGCCACCTACGTGCAGCACACGGAGCAACTGGCTCAGACCGGAATTATCGAGAGCCTCTACGAAGTGACTCGGGACCAGTACAAGTCCCGACTGTGGGTGGAGGTGCAGTACATGCGCATCCGTTGCTCCATGATGCACCTGATCATCAACCGCAAAAGTGCAGAGGATGACGATCAGATCTTCAACATGATGTTCTGCAAGGGACGCGACAAGAACAACGAGGATCGAGTGCAGCAGAAGCAGCACAAGCGGTTCATATTGAAACAGACGGAAAAGCTGGAGAATAAGAATTATATCGAGTGCGGACTGATTCTGCACGAGAGCTTTCCCTTTCTGTGCGCCTCCCCCGATGGCATCACGGACGATCACATCGTCGAAATCAAATCGCCAAAGACTGAGGAGGACTTTGAGAAGTACCTCGAGGCTCGTGAGTCAATAGCACCCAAGTACATGGCCCAGATACAGATCCAGATGTTTGCGGCCAATGTGAAAAAGGCGCTCTACTGTGTGCTGAGTCCAACATTCGAAGTCAACGGAGCCCTGCACTACGTTTGGGTACAGGCAGATCCAGAATTCGTGTCCAGTTTGCTGGCCATGGCCGAAGAGTTCTGGCGCGACGTAGTCTTTCCCCGCCTTATGAATATCTACCCACAGTTCGGTTAATAAATGGAAAGTATACACTTACCTTTGGCGAATATTTGTAGCGATATTACAGCCTTGGCCTCGCCATGGCAATTGCTGGCTATCACGGAATAGGTGCCGGTGAAGTCCAACTTGGCGCTGGGTATCTCCAATCTGTACTCTGGTCCGTCTCCAATGCGCCGGAAGTGGGGCGCGTCCTTGTAGTACTCCGGCTGCGGGCGAAAGAAAACGGTGCGATGAGTGGGCTGGATGACTCAAGGTCACGTCGCGATGAGCTTCGTCTATAAGGACTTGTGCGGCTGTCGCAGATCATGAATCACGACTGTCTTTATACAAATATCGGTGCCGTTGACGCGGACAGCTCTGCTGTCGTTGTTATTATTGTGTTAAGCTTATGGCCATATAAGCACAAAATTCAGTTTCGAGACTGTCGAATAGGAAAACTGGTAATGGGTATACGTTGCCCACCCTGACCTCCTACTCCTCCGGCTCCTCCTGCCTGCCTGCTCGCTTCCTTGGTCGACAGTGCACGACAGTGGCTAATAATATTTTTTATTTTTGCGCTTTTTTTCCTTTTTGGCTCGCGTAATTGTTTGTTGCGAACAAGCCTGTTATTTGATATGGGTTGAACTTGAATTAGCGTTTGACAGCGATTCGGATTTGTAAGATCTGTGGTCTTGTATAACGCGCACCGTTTCAGTATGACGCACTTGTCCGTAATCCGAGCCAGCTGCCCCTGCGCTCTATTCTTCACGTGCTTTTGTAGCCACTTTATGGCCGTATCGGGTTCTGGGCTGGTTACCTCTGGGCGGGATGCTCCGCTTGTTTGGACACTTTGTTCGCGCACTCGCGGATCAATCAACAAAAATTCTATCCGCGCGAGCAACTGTGGCAACTCAAAAAAAACGGTCTACTAAAGTGTCTGGCCCACTGGGCGCTGCCTTTTTATAGTGAACTTGGCGGAAATTGTGTATACTCCAACTTCCTGATGCCAGTAGGGCCCACGTGGCTGCTGTTCACCTGAACTTGAGCCTCTGATAAGACAACGGGTTTGGAAGCGAGAGGAGGTAGTGATTGGACGACCCACATTTGCTGACGCCGCGAATGCAACTGACTGACTGACCGCCGGAGAACTGCGCATGCGCAACAAGCTGACTCTCGCGAAAAACGTCACATACTCACGTTCAGAAAATCGCGCAGCCAAACGACTTCGGGCTTGGGATCGCCGACCACCTCGCAGAATATGATGACGTTGTCGCCCTCGTAGGCTTCGCTGGAACGCGGCTTGACCACAAACAGAGGCTCCTTGGAATAACTAGGGGGAAATGAATCATTAGATAGGGCTTTCTACAACGTCGCTCCGGTTTTCACTGACTGCTATTGTAAAAAAGAATCTCTAGTCATAGAATTACACGTATAATCATATTTGATTGGTTAAAAATTTCGTTAAAAAAATCATAACTAATTCTAACCATAAGGCTTTGTAAGAAAAACTTTCACATATATATAACCCTGAACAATATTAACTACTACTTCTCTCGCTATAAACATTTAAAATTCTATAAGAATTGTGTTACATCTTAAAATTTTGGAGAATTAGAAATCCGGAAATTGTAAGAATCTCATGCTTTACTCACGGAAGATCATCAGTCTTGATGCTGGGAATTTCCAGCTGACGTGGCGGAACCATTGACTTGTTCTCCTCCTCCTCAATTGCCACCCGGCAGATGGTCTCTACTTTGCCAACAACGTTGGATGCAACGCACACATAAATGCCGGCATCCCTCATCGTAGCCTCGGCAATGATGAGCTCCACAAATCCATTGGAGTCCAGGGTGGCGGTCAGACGACGACTGGGGCGCAGACGCATCCCGTTGCGATGCCAGGTGACACCAACAGATGGATATGCCTCCACCTTTGTGGACAGGCGGATTTCGGAGCCTTCACGGAAAATGTAGAAGGGATCCAAGGGCACATAAAAATCGGGTGAGATGTAGGCCCGGATGCCCTTGTCCACGACCAGGGTGCAGTGGCAGGATACGGAGCCCAGTTCGTTCTTCGCCAGGCAGGTGTAGGTACCGCTGTCGTCCAGCGTGGTTGCGGCAATTTCCAGCGTAAAGAACTGTCCCTCTGCACTGATGAGATGCTTCCTATCGGTATGGATGAGCTGATCGTCCTTGTACCACAGGATCTCCGGTACGGGATAGCCCACAATCTGGCAGGTGAGTCGCACTGGGTACGTGACCTGGACGCGACGATCCCTCAGACGCATAGTGAAAATGGGCAGTGAGTCACCGACATCAGCTACATTGCGACCATGGGCAATCTCCTTCAGACGCGAGTCCGCCTCATAGATCCGCGAGTCAGAGACAACCTGAAGGCGGGCAAAGGTGGAGACTCTGCCCTTAGAGTTGGTGGCCTCGCAGGTGTATCGGCCGGAGTCCAGTTCGCTGACCGTGGCGATGGTGAGGGCACAGGTGGAACCGATCTGCCGGATCTTGACGCGTTCCGAACTGCTGCTCAGTTGAATGCCATCCTTGAACCAGTTGACCTGTGGCCTCGGCGCTCCACGCATGTTGCACTGCAGGGTGAAGGAGGAGCCGAGCAGCGCCTTGGCCTGGCCCGGCAGGATCTTGACGAACTCCGGCAGGCACTCGACGCCACCCACTTGGAGGGCACTACTGGTCTGGACAGTGGGTCCCCAACCATATCGGTTTTTGGGCGTCACTCGGAAGTGGTACTCCACGTTGGGCTTCAGGTTGAAGGCGTCGAAGGAGTTGATGGGCGTCAGGCCCAGCTCCCGCCAGTAGGCTCCGCCCTCGTGACCCACAACCCAGGCCTCCACCTTGTAGGCCATCACCGGAGCAGAGTTGGCACTAACCGGCTTGCCCCATGACAATGAGATGTGGGTGGGTCCAGAATCAACGACCAGGGGTTCGGTGGAAATGCAACCGGGTGGATCTGAGAAATGGTACACAAAAAAGACGTAAGTGAATGTGGCTCAAATGGAATTGGTGCTGAATCTTAGGATAACCTCGATTAAAACTCTTTACGCCCCGGAGAAATATTTTTTATTTTCTTGTTTCCACTACGTAAATGTATAAGCTGGATTGCTGTGCTTTATATAATACATTATTTATATATGTAGGTACGATAATAAAAGTAATTAAGTCAATCGTTCAGAAATACTAACAAAAGATAAATACAGGAATAGTTTTTGTGTGCTGGGTTTCTACGATCTCACAGGAAATTTCTTTTGTCGTTTGTTTGTTTGGTTTGTTGGGGCGATTAAACCGATCTGGAAGAGAGGCAAATAAGGCTGTGTCTTACAGTTGAGATACAAAAGACAGATACGCCAACGGACAACACGGAACAAAACGGACTATCACAAGACCCTAACAACCACAGAACCATATAACACCATATAGAACTTACCTCTGAAATACGAAGTGTCGCTATAGCTGTCCAGGGGAAGGCCCCAGCGTGGTTGCGTTGGAGTGGCGGAGCGAGCGCGCGGGTTTACCTATAAGTTTTGTAGTCAGAACGATATATTTATTGCTTTGAATGAACACATAGAGTCAGGTCAGGAAAGTAGACTGAGGGCTAAGTATGATATAATTGTAATTGTATTTGGTGCTTGTTGAGGGAGGCGTTCGAAATTTGCAAAATAAATTGTATTAATAAGCTTTATTCGGATTCTTTCTTTTTGGGTATTTTAATCTGGAATAAGAGAAGAAAAGCAGAGAAGAGAAAAAGAATTGCAGCGGTTAGTTTGCGAAAGCGATAGAGGGACAGCCACAAGCAACAGAAAGAGATCTACAAAGATCTTATGGGATCTGAAGATCTACAGATCCCGACACAGATATAAATATGTACCGTCACAGTGACGAATATCCTGTCAGTGCCAAAGTTGTTGCGGGCCACCACGAAGTAAGTGCCAGAATCGGAGATCTGGGCTTGCTGCACAGAGAATCTTGTGTAGTCGTCGGACACCTCTTTGCTGACCCGATCCGACTGGGTAATGTCCTTCGTGCCCTTCATGAAGGTGACTGCAAAATAAAGAATTCATATTAGAAGTTACTCCACATCAGGGGAGGAGAGTCCAGCTTACGCTTCGGTTTCGGATCGCCGGCAATGCGGAAGGACAGCGAGAAGGGATCGCCCACGGCGATCTTCATTTCGGTGTCTGGTCGCGACAGGAACAACGGAGGACGCTCATCCTTCTCAGCTCCCACGGCAACGTCGACGTTGACATTGGACTCGATGCGACCGAAAGCGTTGGAGGCGCGGCAGGTATAGGTGCCCTCAACCTCGGGACCGGCATTCATGATGGTCAACGTGTAGACGCCTTTGTCGGTCAAGGCCTTCACATTGGGTCCATCCACCACCCGGCGATCGCGGAGCCACTTCACCTCGATGGGTGTGCTGGTCTGCATGAACTCGGCCGAAATGGCCACGGTGCCGCCGTTGCAGACCGTTTGGTTGCCCAAGGGCAGCAGGAAGTGCGGCTTGTTGGGGTCGCGGTGGAAGAAGCCGTGCGTCTTCTGCAGCGAGTAGTGCTGGCGGCCCTTGAAGTCCACCTGGTGGGAGATCTTGTTCTCGGCTCCCTCGTTGCGGGCCACGCACCAATAGACGCCCGAATCCTTTTCCGTGGGATTCAAAATGGTCAGCTTGGCGTAGCCATCGGCCTGGTCGCTCAGCTTGTACTTCTCGTTGCTTTCGATGGGTTCGGTTCCCTTGACCCACTGGATATCGGGACGCGGCTGGCCACGCACGCGGCAATCCAGAACCAACTCATTCTCGTTGAGAGAATATGTGTCTGCAAAGGGAAGAGAACTGTTAGAGGGATTCTGTGCTTTTAAAAACAGGTGGATTAACAGAAGCGGTTAGAACATCAAAGATGTACAAAGGCGAAGATGAAATCCGTAGCTCTTTCCAGACGGGTAATACCTCGGATTGGCTGCGTAAAAGTACTTGGCAATGTGGCCTCCTTGAAATGCTTGTACACACGAAGCTGCGCATGTGTTAAACTTTCGCCAAAGTCGTTGGTGGCACAACAGGTGTAGTTGCCACTGTCATCGGCCACCGCAGCAAAGATCTCCAACGAAGCCTCTCCGTTCATGTAGAGCGTCTGATAGCGATTGTCCCTGGGCAGGGGTTTGTGGTTCTTCAGCCACTCGATGTGGGTGTTCTCGTCTCCCGACACGGCGCACAGCAGTCGAAGATTGGCCCCCTCCGAAACAGTGCGATCGTGCAGTAGGGTGTGGAACAGCGGCTTCGCCTTGCCCACGCTGCGTAGGACCCGATCTCCGGCACGATGAAGCTCTCCATTGCCGTTCACTTGGCTTTCGGAACTTAAGTGCGACTGACTTCGTGACCAGTGTGAGCTATCATGATCGCTAATACTGGGAATCTCCTCCTGGCTAACGTTAATAAGGCGCTTTAGGTCGGCCGCCTTAATGGTGGTGCTGGTCGAGTCAATGCGATCCTCGTGCTCGGCATAGCAGGCGAAGATCCCACAATCGGAAGATATGGGATTGCGAATAATCAGCTTCCTTACACCGCCGGGCTCTTCGATTGCCCTGTACCGGTTATTGCATATAGAGTGGTCATCGCGCATCCAACTGACATTGGGCCTTCCATTCACCTGACAACTTAGCACTATCTCATTTCGCTGGGCATCGTAGGATTCTAAAAGAAAAAACACAATCAGCTGAAAGTTTCCATAATGATCTATGTATAGTTACCTATTATACCACTGGAGAAGCTCTGCGGCAAGTTTCCAGTAGACTGATCCAGCACACTTAGCTGGCCAGCACTCTCCACAGTCTGTCGACTGTTCTTCACCACGCATCTGTAGTGGCCACTGTCCTCGACTCGGGCATCGTAAATCTCCAGACTGATGGCTCCATTTATGTTGTAGATCTTGTGGCGGGCATCTTTGGTCACACGCTCATCGTTTCTCAGCCAGTGGACGTCCTCTATGATGCCGGTCACATAGCAGATGAGCTGCGCCTTGTTACCACTGCCGATGGTCATGGCCTTTAAGCTGGTCTCCAGATTCAGTCGCAGCTTAGCCTCCCGAGCCTTGGCCTTGGCGGCAGCATTGTCATTGGCCGAGGCAGGTGAGGATTCCTCCCGCTTAATCTCCTGGATGACCTTATCAATCGGTTTCTTTTCGGCAGTTCGCTCTCTAACGTAGTCGGAGGCCTGGACAAACTTGCTGATCTTCATCTGCCCATTCTCGCTCTCCGCATAGCAAGTGTACAGACCGGAATCGTTGCTGCCAAAGTTGGTGATGGTCAGGAGTTTTACTCCGTCGCTCTGCTCTTCATACTGGTACTTGGTGCCCTCAATGGGCAGCAGGGTATTATCCCTCTGCCAGTAAATGTGGGGCTTGGGACTACCCGACACCTTGCACTCCAAAGTGAGCTGGTTGCCCTGGGAATGATATGCATCTGGAACATGGACGGAGATAAAGAGACAAGACCCAAGACACATAAGACAAAGTACTACAAAAGGCGAAGGAAGGGGTGCAGTAGGTTGTTAGTTTTCTTAAAGAATACCTAGGGCTACAAATAGAGATACATATATTCATAGATACAAAGACAATCACCTGAACGCACTCAGTTGGGAGAAACCCACATACATAGAGCGTCCTACCTTTGATACCCACTACAAAGGTGGGCGAAATAACTTCCGGCTTGGCCGTGCTGTACACAAACAAATTGCAAGTGCTCACGATTTCGTTTTCACTACCCCTGACCCGCAAAGTGTATTCTCCGGCATCCTCTTCAGTGACTCCGACGAGGTTCAACCAGGCGATACCGTCCTGCATGGACATCTTGCTCCTCGGTCCGAAGGCTATCGGTTGGTCACCAAAGAACCACTTGGCCGTCGGCTCAGGTCCATCGATGTTCACCATCCACTTGACGTTGCTGCCCGATTTCACCGTTCGGTTGGAGAGGAAGTTCCTGAAGTACAGGCGCTTTCTTAGATCCGGCGGCGGTGGCACCTCACGTCTGGAGCTGGTTTGCTCCTCCTCATCCGGCTTGGGCTTCCTGCGGCGCTTCTCGCCACCCTCACCACCCTCGCCGCCTTCACCTTCGGCGCCTTCTTCTCCGGCTGGAGCTGCCTCCTCATCACCGGTCGGACGTGGAGGTCTGCCCTCCCTGGGCGGCGAGATGCGAGGAGCCCTGACTCGCGGCTCCACAGTGATCATGTGGACAATCTCCGTCTTGCCCTCGCGATTCTCCGCCTGGCACACATACTTGCCGCTGTCCGAGGCCTTCGGATGACTGATGAACAGCTCGCAGGTGCCGTCGTCATGGTCCACCTGCTGGTACTTGTCGCTATTCTCCACCTTTACGCCATCCTTCACCCACGTGACCGAGGGAGTGGGCAGGCCGCGCACATGTACGTCCAACTGCAACTCGTTGATCTTGCCGTGCATCGTGTCCTTAATGTTGCGCGTAAAGGTGGGTGGCACGTCACCTGTGCCCGGATCTTCGTACACCTCCAGACGGCACGAGGTGGATGCCTCACCGGTCTCGTCACGACCCCAGCACTTGTACTCGCCATTGTCCTCGGCAGTGGCACTCGTAATCTCCAGAAGACACAGGCCCTCGCTGTACCTGCCCCTGATCTTGGGCGAGTTCTGGATCTGCTCGCCATCCTTGAACCACTTAACTTGCGGCTCCTTTGCCTCCAGGAAGCAGGAAATCTTCACCTTGGATCCCTCGGCCACCACGCGATCTCTCATCGAAGTGCTGAAGTGGATCGCGATGTTCTTTTCGCGTCGCTTGCTTGACAAGCTGGCGGTATCGGAGGCGTAATCGGTTGCGTAGGCCGAGGAGTCATCCTCCTCCTTGCGGCCACGCTTCTTGGTCTTGCCATCCTCGGCCTCGGATTCCGGCTCTGCGGCAGCAGGCGCAGGAGCAAGCTTCTTCTCCACCGGCTTCTCCACCTCCTTGGGACGCAGAAGGCTCTTGTCCGCATGGAACACACCGTGGATGTTGTCGGAGATGTGATGGGCCTGACCCTCGAAGAGCACGTAGTGGGAGATCTCCATCTTGCCGGCGCGACTCTCCGCCTTGAGCACATACTTGCCGGAGTCCTTGCTGTCCGGCCGATCGATGATGAGCTCACGGGTGCCGTCCTGGTGCTCGATGAGTTGGTAGCGACCGCCGCTCTGGATCTCGATGCTGTCCTTGAACCACTGGACCTCGGGGGTAGGTTGACCCCTCACAGCCGTCTCCAGGATCAGCTCGTTGGTGTTCAGGTGATAGGTTTCTGAGAGAGAAACACCGAGATGGGTTACATAAGGACTCATCCCGAAAAAGAAAGCCATTGCATAAGGAATGCGATCAATGGCATTGCACAATCATACATGTCGATTGCTAAATATAGACGGTTCGATCCGATCGATCGAACACACTCATCCGACATCCAATACCTTACCTTTCAGAGAGCGAATAAAGACGGGTTGCACATCCGTGTTGACCTTGGCCTGGTAGACATGCAGCATGGCGGAGGTGGTGATCTTGCACGATTCATTCTGGGCAATAATGGAGTAGGTGCCCGAGTCCTCCACTTGGGCATTGACAAACTCCAGCACCGCCAAGCAGTCGCGGTTCATGTTGCGAATGTTGGGTCCGTAGGTGACATTCTGGTCATCTTTCTGCCACTTGATCATCGGCTCGGGTCCGCCAATAACGGCCTGCAACTTGACCTTGGAGCCCTCGGCCACGTACCGATTGGATAGGTTGACCGTGAAGTACAGCATCTGCTTAGGCGAAGGATCCGGCATCCGGCTGCGACGCTCGTAGCCACCTTCTCCGGCGGCCTCCGGCTCGTCGTCCTTCTTCTTCTTCTTGCCCTTGGCCTTGCCCCCCTCGGCTGACTCGCCTCCTTCCTGCATGGCAATGGCGGACAGGATGCTCGACCGACGCGACGTGTGAGTGGTGTCGACGACGACCGTGTGGGTGGTCGACTGAGTGCCCAGTTTGCTCTTGGCGGTGCAGACATAGATGCCGTTGTCATTGATCGTCGGCTTGTTGATAATCAGCTCGCAGATGCCGTCCAAGTGCTCGATCTGCACCACCCGATCGTCGATCACCACGGGTATCTGGTCCTTGGTCCACGAGATCTCTGGGCGGGGGTTGCCGCGCACCTTCGTGTCGAGAATAAGATCGTTCTGCGAGGCATGGTACACATCTGAGAACAAAGTCAATCAATCAATTTGGCTATTTTTGTACGCGATCGACCTCAATCGCAAAAGAACATCGACACACGACGGACACACATGGACATGGGATCGTGTAACCGACAACAGTTGGCCACAGAGCACACCACACACAGAACGGGGGATTGGAATACCTCGCAGAGGAAGGGCGAAAATGGGTTCCGACTCGTCACCATCCGCCTGTGCCGCGTACACCTTGAAGTAGCAGGAGGTCTCGATCTCACTGAGATCGTTTTTGGCTACGCACTTGTAGACACCGGAGTCGGCGCCGGTCACGTTGCTAATCTCGATGATGGCCTTGCCCTCCTCGGACAGGTTCTTGATGTTGCCGCCCACCACCACCCACTTGTCGTCCTTCATCCAGCGGGTATTGGGAGAGGGCCCAATCACCGTGGCTACGAACTTAACGGTGGAACCCTCAAGCGCCATGCGATCGCGCAGCTGGGTGGCAAATGCCAACTTCTGCTTGGCGGGCACCAGCTTCTCCGGAGTGGCCCTTGCCGGATGCAGGCGCTGCTGCTCCTCCTCCGCCTCCGCCCTTCTAAGGTCGGAGTCGGCCTTCGACTTGAGAGCCTCATCCATGGCCTTCTTGGCCTGCTTCAAGCTGTCTAGCTGGATCTTATCGCGGGCGTGGAAGATGCCGGGCACATGGTAGTGCAGGTTGCGGGCCACCTCCACCGTGTGGTTGATCTGCACCTCACCGCTGGAGTTGAAGGCCTTCATGGTGTAGATGCCTCCATCCTTGTTGCCCGGCTTGTAGATCAGCAGCTTGCACACACCGTGCGCCTCCTCCAGCATGGTGAACTTGTAACTAGGTTTGACTTGGAAGGCGCCGCGCCACCAGGTGATCACCGGTCGGGGGTAGCCGTGGACGTGGCACTCGATGGTCAGCTCGTCGTCACGTAGATGGTAGTACTCTGAAATGGGCAATTAGAAGATCTTAGGAGTGCCAAGTTATCCCAAGGACCGACAAATACCTTTGATGTACTGAATGGAAGGGGGTTTGGGTTCGTCCTTGAAAATTTCATAGACGGTCACAATGCAAGACGAAGACGTCTCGTCGTTCTGGTTCGAGATCACGCACGAGTATTCCCCAGAGTCCAGGATGGTGGTGTTGAGCACCTCCAGCACCAGAATGTTGTTGTTATTAATGATGCGGTGGCATCCGTCGCGCTCCAGCTGCTTGCGGTTGTGGAACCATTTGGCAGATAGCTCCGGACCGTCCACGGCGCAGGCCAGGCGCACACTTTGTCCGGCCTCGACGGCTCGATCGGACAGGAAATTGATAAACTTGGGATTGCGGGCCTGTTCCCTGCGGCGCTGCCAGTCGGCGTCGCGCTCCTTCTCGCTGACCCGCTTGGCCTGGCTGTATTTGCGCATCTGCTGCATGAACTCCTCGCCCTCGACGGCGGCGATACGCTGCCAGCGCTCTTCCTCGTGAGGATCGGGGCGGACGAAGTCATCGGAGGAGTCGCTGCCGCGGCGCTTCTCTTTCTTCTTCTTCGGGTCGACCACCTCCTCCTCCTCCTCTTCGGGCTCGCGTTCCTCGATGTCTTCCTCGTTATATTCTTGGTCCTGGTCCTCGTCGCCGTATCCGGCTTCGGTGCCCTCCTCACCCTCCTCGCCCAGGGCGGATGGTTCCTCCTCCTCCTCCTCCGCCTCAGCCTCCTCCTGAGCCCGCTGTTCGGCCTCCAGACGGTCCTGCTCCTCCTTTTCGGCTTGGAGGCGCTTCTGACGTTCCTCGAAGGTCTCGCCCTTGGGCTTGGCCCTCGCGGCCGCCTCCTCGGCGGCCTTGGCCGCTGCCTTCGCCTGCTCCTCCATCTGGAGCACCATCTTGCTCTTCTTCGGCGGCGGCTTGGCCTGCTGCTGCTCGAACATCTTCTTGCTGGCCTTCTGGCCGCCGCCGATCTCCAGTTTCAAGGTCAATTTCGGACTGGGCGACTTCTCTTTCTTGTCCTTCTTCTTGGGCGGAGCCTTCTTCTTGCCCTTCTTGACGGGCTCATCGCCATCGTCGAAGTCGGCACTGTCCTCCCTATCGTCAGCACCAAAGTCGCCCAGATCCTCGCCATCCTCGGCACCGGAAGGACTCATGTCCTTGTCGATGGACTTGCGCTGGACGCGCGGCTTTCTGGCCTTCTTTTCCTTCTTCTTCGGCTTAACCTCCTCAATGATCTCCTCCTCCTCGACCTCCTCATACTCCTCCACAACGTAGATAACCTCAACGTTGGACACATCCATTACGGCAGCGCGATCGATCACCGACAAATCGGACGTTATGTAACGCACGGGCTTTTGCACGTCCAACGGCTCGGAAATATCCATAACGAGGGCGCGATCGAATACGGCGATATTGCAGGTGGTCTGGCTCTTGATGTCCCTACCCAGTTCGAAGGGGGTCTTCTCCTTTTCCTCGCGTTTCAGGAATGGAGTAATGCTGCGCCATGTTGACGGCGTTGCACTGCGTCGCGTCATGTAGAGGGTAAAGGGGGTCTGACTCCTTCCATGGATGGGCGTGGCACTGCGACCACGGAGGCTTCCAGGAGTTGGGGACTTAAGCTTGCGCTTCTTTTGCGTCGGCACCTGCAGGGTATCCTGGGCAGATGCCGCCTCCGGTTCGGCCGAAGCCCGTGGCTCGATATCCCCGTTCTCCGTTTCTCCCATTTCGGATCGTTTTCGTACGGCCTCTTTCGGTTTTTGGATAAGGATAAAACTCGTAAATGAAAACCGAAAAAATTGATATCCGTCCGAGTCGTATATGTATGACTTTCTAAATCAATATATATAGCCCGCAACGGTTCGATCGAGATTTTTGGGACGTAAGACGTCCGTTCGATGCAAAAGAAGATTCACGACTGTCACCGAACGTGGTGAAAATTTCGAAAACACATTCCTTCTCGAATCGATCGGATCGGATCGATCTTAGTCCCCAATTGATTGTTATGCTAAGAACAATTTTACGAATTCTGTTTTGTTCGCTGCCGACGTCGCACAAACACACGCATGCAACATTGATTGCCAAAATGCGATTCTATTTAAATACCAGGCACTTTTTTATTGAATTCAGGCAGTAAACGAAGTTATATAAGTGAGAGCACGGCTGCCATTTGAATTAAATGAGCTATTTAAAGGGGAATCTATTTAAATGCGATGATAAAGTGCCTCGTTTACCTTAATCTCTGAGCACTTGCCATATTTGCGAACCGAAAGTGCGAAACGATTTGTTAGTCAAGAAGTAAATTCGCCCGACATATCATAAAGTTCGCGATTTATTCTAGCCTTACGAACTAGCTTCCTATATACTAAGACTATGCTACATACAACTACGTACAAGTAAATGCAAGGTGCATAATGCGAAACGAAAGATATATCTGCATTCGCAATTAAGCACTAATTAAGTTTGAAATTCGGGCATTGGATCACTAGGTAGAGTGGGCACAATCGGCACTTACCTCGAATGTTGCGTGTAAATATTGGCGGAGTGCCAAATTTACTTGAAGGTGCTTCGTATATAGTCACAAGACAGCTAGTTTCGACTTCTCCATTTTGATTGGACGCTATGCAGCGGTAAATGCCAGAGTCAGTAAGTTCGACCGATTTAATTTCAAGGCACGACAGTCCGTCGTTCAATGTCCTCCTGTACTTGGCACCATTCTCGATGGGACAATTTTCCTTGAACCACTGCACATTCATGTCGTGACCTGACAGCCCACAAGTCAACTTGAGGTCGCTGCCAGACGCCGTGTTTCGGTTGGTCAGTTGGATGTCCACAGTTGGCTTCCGCTTGGCACTTCGGGACTCCTTTCTATCCTTGTACTCAGAACCCATTGACTTGTACGTTTGCAAACTACTGGAGTCGGCAGTATCTTCAGCATCGTACGGCTTTCGTTTCGGAATAACTAATTCGTCATCCAAGGCCGCCGTCCTCTCAGCATCAACTTTAACATCATTGACGTCAAATATTTTATTGTCCTTTTTATCTGCAGCAATCTCAGTCTGTTTTTGGTTCTTGTCTTCCAGTTTTTTTTCTTCGAGTACTTTCTTCTCCAAGGCCTCTGCTTTCTTAATTTTATCTTTAGAGTCCTTAACATCGGTCTTTTGTCTTTCTCCCACATTCTCTTCGGATATCTTTTCTGCCACAACCTCGGAAACCTCTGCCTTTTGAGCTTTCTTGTCAGCACCGATCTCAGCCTGTTTTTGGTTCTTGACTTCCAGTTTCTCATCTTCGACTGGTTTCTTCTCCGAGGCCTTTGCTTTTTTAGTTTTATCTTTAGAGTCCTTAGCTTCGGGCTGTTGTCTTTCGTCTACCTTCTTTTCAGACATCTTTTCTGCAATAACCTCTGAAACCTCTGCCTTTTGAGCTTTCTTGTCAGCAGCGATCTCAGCCTGTTGTTGTTTCTTGTCTTCCAGTTCTTCTTCGATTGCTTTATTCTCCGAGGCCTTTGATTTCTCAGATTTAGCGCCAGTGTCCTTAACTTCGGACTTCTGGCTTTCTTCCACCTTTTCTTCGGATATCTTTTCTGCAACCACCTCGGAAACCTTTGCCTTTTGAGCTTTTTTGTCAGCAGCCATATCAGCCTGTTTTTGGTTCTCCGATTTAGCGCCAGAGTCCTTATCTTCGGACTTCTGGCTTTCTTCCACCTTTTCTTCGGATATATTTTCTGCAACAACCTCGGAAACCTCTGCCTTTTGAGCTTTCTTGTCAGAAGCGATTTCAGCATGTTTTTGGTTCTTGTCTTCCAGTTTTTCATCTTGGATTGGCATCTTCTCCGAGGCCTTTGCTTTCTTAGATTTAGCTTTAGAGTCCTTAACCTCGGTTTTTTGGCTTTCTTCCACCTTTTCTTCGGATATCTTTTCTGCAACAACCTCGGAAACCTCTGCCTTTTGAGCTTTCTTGTCAACACCTATCTCAGCCTGTTTTTGGTTCTTGTCTTCCAGCTTTTCTTCTTCGATTGGTATTTTCTCCGAGGCCTTTGCTTTCTTAGACTTAGCTTCAGAGTCCTTAACCTCGGTCTTTTGGCTTTCTTCCACCTTTTCTTCGGATATCTTTTGTGCAACAACCTCGGAAACCTCTGCCTTTTGAGCTTTATTGTCAACACCAATCTCACCCTGTTTTTTGTTCTTGTCTTCCAGTTTTTCTTCTTCGATTGGTATCTTCTCCGAGGCCTTTGCTTTCATAGATTTAGCTTCAGAGTCCTTAACCTTGGTCTTTTGGCTTTCTTCCACCTTTTCTTCGGATATCTTCTCAGCAACAATCTCGGAAACTTCTACCTTTTTAGCTTTCTTGTCAACACCTATCTCTGCCTGTTTTTGGTTCTTGTCTTCCAGTTTTTCTTCTTCGATTGGAATCTTCTCCGAGGCCTTTGATTTTATAGATTTAGCTTCAGAGTCCTTAACCTCGGTCTTTTGGCTTTCTTCCACCTTTTCTTCGGATATCTTTTGTGCAACAACATCGGAAACCTCTGCCTTTTGAGCTTTCTTGTCAACACCTATCTCTGCCTGTTTTTGGTTCTTGTCTTCCAGTTTTTCTTCTTCGATTGGTATCTTCTTCGAGGCCTTTGCTTTCTTAGATTTAGCTTCAGAGTCCTTAACATCGGTCTTTTGGCTTTCTTCCACCTTTTCTTCGGATATCTTTTCAGCAACAATCTCGGAAACTTCTGCCTTTTGAGCTTTCTTGTCAACACCTATCTCTGCCTGTTTTTGGTTCTTGTCTTCCAGTTTTTCTTCTTCGATTGGAATCTTCTCCGAGGCCTTTGCTTTCTTAGATTTAGCTTCAGAGTCCTTAACCTCGGTCTTTTGGCTTTCTTCCACCTTTTCTTCGGATATCTTTTCGGCAACTACCTCGGAAACCTCTGCCTTTTGAGCTTTCTTGACAGCAGCGGCCTCAGCCTGTTTTTGGTTCTTGTCTTCCAGCTTTTCTTCTTCGATTGGTATTTTCTCCGAGGCCTTTGCTTTCTTAGACTTAGCTTCAGAGTCCTTAACCTCGGTTTTCTGGCTTTCTTCAACCTTTTCTTCGGATATCTTTTGTGCAACAACATCGGAAACTTCTGCCTTTTGAGCTTTCTTGTCAACACCTATCTCTGCCTGTTTTTGGTTCTTGTCTTCCAGCTTTTCTTCTTCGATTGGTATCTTCTTCGAGGCCTTTGCTTTCTTAGATTTAGCTTCAGAGTCCTTAACCTCGGTCTCTTGGCTTTCTTCCACATTTTCTTCGGATATCTTTTCAGCAACAATCTCGGAAACTTCTGCCTTTTTAGCTTTCTTGTCAACACCTATCTCTGCCTGTTTTTGGTTCTTGTCTTCCAGTTTTTCTTCTTCGATTGGAATCTTCTCCGAGGCCTTTGCTTTCTTAGATTTAGCTTCAGAGTCCTTAACCTCGGTCTTTTGGCTTTCTTCCACCTTTTCTTCGGATATCTTTTCTGCAACAACCTCGGAAACCTCTGCCTTTTGAGCCTTCTTGTCAACACCTATCTCACCCTGTTTTTGGTTCTTGTCTTCCAGTTTTTCTTCTTCGATTGGAATCTTCTCCGAGGCCTTTGTTTTCTTAGATTTAGCTTCAGAGTGCTTAACCTCGGTTTTTTGGCTTTCTTCCACCTTTTCTTCGGATATCTTTTCTGCAACAACCTCGGAAACCTCTGCCTTTTGAGCTTTCTTGACAGCAGCGGTCTCAGCCTGTTTTTGGTTCTTGTCTTCCAGTTTTTCTTCTTCGATTCGTTTCTTGTCCGAGGCCTTTGCTTTCTCAGATTTAACTTCAGACTCTTTTACTTCGGTCTTTTGGCTTTCCTCTACCTTTTCTTCAGATATCTTTTGTGCAACAGCATCGGAAACCTCTGCCTTTTGAGCTTTCTTGGGAGGAGCGATCTCAGCCTGTTTTTGTTTCTTGTCATCCAGTTTTTCTTCTTCGATTGGTTTCTTCTCCGAGGCCTTTGCTTTTTCAGGTTTAGCGTCAGAGTCCTTAACTTCGGACTTCTGGCTTTCATCTACCTTCTCTTCGGATATCTTTTCAGCAACAACCTCGGAAACCTCTGCCTTTTGAGCTTTCTTGGCAGGAGCGATCTCAGCCTGTTTTTGTTTCTTGTCTTCCAGCTTTTCTTCTTCGATTGGTATTTTCTCCGAGACCTTTGCTTTCTTAGACTTAGCTTCAGAGTCCTTAACCTCGGTTTTCTGGCTTTCTTCCACCTTCTCTTCGGATATCTGATCGGTTAGAGCCTTTTGATCTTCTTCTCCAGCAGCAATCTCTTTTTGGCCCTCTTCACCCTGATTTAGCTCTTCGGTTGACTTCAGACTTTGTTTGTCTGTCAGTTCTTTTAAGTCTTCAATAACAGTCAGAATATTTTGCGTTACAATTTTAATTTTTCCATTAATTACGGCGGTATGTAGTTTACCTTCTTTCTTTTCAACATAGTCATAGTCGCTAAGCAATATTGTTTTAATTTGTTCTATTTTTGGTTTCAATATTTCCGTCTTTTCGTCTAACAAGTCATCGAGGATAACGAAAATATCCATTAAGCTCTGTTGCAAACTAATCATTTTTTCAGATGATTTATCAACATGTGTTTCGGATTGAATTTTCATGGAAACTCTCTCGAGATTTACAAGTTTTGGGATTAATAATGATGGCTTGGTGAACATATTGCAGTCGTCGATAAGTTGAATTGCTGCTTTTGTTAGAATCACGTTAGTTTTAATTTCTTTGAGATAATTGTATATAACTTGCTCAGCTGCTTCAGGGCAGGCATCGCACAGCGATTCAATAAATGATTCAAAAAGTTCTTTACATTTTTGATCTGCAGCGTTTGTTCCAGAATAAACGCGAACTATGTGCTCTCTTATTTTAAACATCAATTTGGCAACTGCGTTGATATCTTCAAGGTTACTGATAGTATATTGACATTCTGCCAAAATATCATTGTTACTAAAGCTCACTTCCAGTGATAGTTCCATAAATCTGTCGTTCAAAGTCTTCAGTACTTCTTCTTGTGAATTCGCTTTCTTTTCTTCCAGGACTTGCTTCTCCAATGCCTTAGCGTTCTCTGCTTTCGTATCTGTACCCTTTATTTCAGGCTTTTTGTGATCTTCAATCTTTATTTCGGAAATCTTCTCTGCATCGACCTCAGTTAATTCTGTTTTCTGGGATTTCTGTTCAACATCAGTGTCAGCTTGTCTTTGAGCCTCAACTTCCAATTGATTTCCTTCCAGTACTTGCTTCTCCAAAGCTTTAACCTTCTCTGTTTTACTTTCTGTATCCTTCTTTTCAGGTTTCTTCGATTCGTCTATCTTCTCTTGCGATACCTTCTCCGCAACGACCTCAGATACTTCTGGTTTTTGGGATTTCTGTTCGAAATCTTTGTCTGCTTGCTTTTGAGCTTCAACTTCCATTTGCTTATCCTCCAAGATTTGTTTCTCCAAAACCTTGGCCGTCACTGATTTAGTGTCTGTATCCTTTATTTCAGGCTTTTTGGGCTCTTCAATCTTTTCTTGGAATATCTTCTCCGCAACGACCTCAGATACTTCTGGTTTCTGGGATTTCTGTTCAAAATCTTTGTCAGTTTGTTTTTGAGCCTCAACTTCCAATTGCTTTTCCTCTAGGAGTCGTTTTTCCAAAGCTTCAGCCTTTTGTGATTTTGTTTCAGTTTCCTTTATTTCAGGTTTTTTGGGTTCTTCGATATTTTCTTCTGATATTTTCTCCGCAACGACCTCAGTTACTTCTGGTATCTGGGATTCCTGTTCGAAATCTGCTTTAGCTTGTGTTTGAGCCTCAACTTCCATTTGTCTTTCTTCCAGGATTTGCTTCTCCAAAGCCTTGGCCTTCTCTGCTTTGTTTTCTGTATCCTTTATTTCAGGTTTCTTTGGTTCGTCTATCTTCTCTTGCGATATCTTCTCCACAACGACCTCAGATACTTCTGGTTTTTGGGACTTCTGTTCGACATCTTTGTCAGCTTGTTTTTGAGGCTCAACTTCCAATTGCTTTTCTTCTAGGAGTTGTTTTTCCAAAGCTTCAGCCTTCTGCGATTTTGTTTGAGTTTCCTTTATTTCAGGCTTTTTGGGCTCTTCGATATTTTCTTCTGATATCTTCTCCGAAACGACCTCAGATGCTTTTGGTTTCTGTTCGCCATCTTTTTCTACATGCTTTTGAGTAACAACATCCAAATGATGTTCTGCTAAAATTTGCTCATCCACTGCTTCGACTTTCTCTGATTTAGTTTCAGTATCCTTAATTTCAGTCTTTTTGGCATCTTCGATCTTTTCTTCGGATGTCTTTTCCACAACGACTTCACTTACTTCTGGTTTTTGGGATTTCTGTTCGACATCTCTGTCAGCCGGCTTTTGAGTCTCAACTTCCAGTTGCTTTTCTTCTAGGATTTGCATCTCCAAAGCCTTGGCCTTCTCTGATTTAGTTTCCGTTAGTTCAGGCTTTTTGGAATCTTCAATCTTTTCTGGGGATATATTTTCCGCAACCACCTTAATTTCTTCTGGTTTCTGGGAATACTGTTCGATATCTGTGACAGTTTGTGTTTGAGCTTCTAGTTGCTTTTCTTCCTGGTCATGCTTCTCCAAAGCCTTGGCCTTCTCTGATTTAGTGTCTGTATCCTCTAGTTCAGGCTTTTTGGGATCTTCGACCATTTTTTCGGATATCTTTTCCGCAACGACCTCAGTTACTTCTGGTTTCTGGGATCTCAGTTCAACATCTTTGTCAGCTTGTTTTTGAGCCACAACTTCCAATTGCTTTTCTTCTAGGAGTCGTATCTCCAAGGCTTCTGCCTTCTGTGATTTTGTTTCAGTTTCCTTTATTTCAGGCTTTTTGGGTTCTTCGACATTTTCTTCTGATAACTTCACCGAAACGACCTCAGTTACTTCTGGCTTGTCAGCTTGCTTTTGAGCCTCAACTTCCAATTGTTTTTTTTCTAGGATTTGCTTCTCAAAAACTTCAGCCTTCTCTGATTTTGTTTCAGTTTCCATTATTTCATCCTTTTTGGGTACTTCAACATTTTCTTCTGATATTTTCTCCGAAATGACCTCACATGTTTCTGGTTTCTGGTGCTTTTGTTCGGCATCTTTGTCAGCTTGCTTTTGAGTCTCAACATCCTTATGCTGTTCGGCTAGAACTTGCGTATCCAAATCTTCTGCCTTCTCTGATGTAATTTCAGTATCCTTTATTTCAGCCTTTTTGGGATCTTCGATCTTTTCTTCGGATGTCTTCTCCGCAACGACCTCAGATACTTCTGGTTTTTGGGATTTCTGTTCGAAATCGTTGTCTGCTTGCTTTTGAGCTTCAAATTCCATTTGCTTATCCTCCAAGATTTGTTTCTCCAAAATCTTGGCCGTCACTGATTTAGTGTCTGTATCCTTTATTTCAGGCTTTTTGGGCTCTTCAATCTTTTCTTGGAATATCTTCTCCGCAACGACCTCAGATATTTCTGGTTTCTGGGATTTCTGTTCGACATCTTTGTTAGCTTGTTTTTGAGCCTTAACTTCCAATTGCTTTTCTTCTAGGAGTCGTTTTGCCAAAGCTTCAGTCTTTTGTGATTGTGTTTCAGTTTCCTTTATTTCAGGCTTTTTGGGTTCTTCGATATTTTCTTCTGATATTTTCTCCGAAACGACCTCAGATGCTTCTGGTTTCTGTTCGGCATCTTTTTCATCATGCTTTTGAGTAGCAACATCCAAATGCTGTTCTGCTAGAATTTGCTTATCCACAGCTTCGACCTTCTCTGATTTAGTTTCAGTATCCTTTATTTCATCCTGTTTGGGATCTCCGATTTTTTCTTCGGATATCTTTTCCTCAAAGACTTCACTTTTTTCTGGTTTCTGGGAATTCTGTTCGATATCTGTAACAGCATGTGTTTGAGCTTCAACTTCCAGTTGCTTTTCTTCCTGGTCATGCTTCTCCAAAGCCTTGGCCTTCTTTGATTTAGTGTCGGTATCCTTTATTTCAGTCTTTTTGGGCTCTTCAATCTTTTCTTCGGATACCTTCTCCGCAACAACCTCAGTTACTTCTGGTTTTTGGGACTCCTGTTCAAAGTCTTTGTCAGCTTGCTTTTGAACCTCAATTTCCAACTGCGTTTCATCCAGGATGTGCTTCTCCAAAACTTTTGCGCTTTCTGGTTTATTTGCAGTAACGCTGATCTCAGACTTCTGTTCTGTTACTGAATGGTCTACCACGTCTTGCTCCTTTTCTTCTGCTATTTTTATTTCAAGTGCTTCATCCTTGTTTTGGTTTTGTTTTTCTATAAGATCTTTAAAGTCCTCACAAATGGTAAGAATTTTTTGAGTAATAATTTGTATTTTTCCATGAATTACAGCCGTATTTAGCTGACCCTGTTTTTTCTCGATATAGTCATATTCACTTAGCAATATTTTCTTTATTTCTTCTATCTTAGGATTTATTTTTTCCGTCTTTTCATCTAAAAGATCATCAAGTATAATAAAAACGTCCATCAAATTCTGCTGTAGACTAATCATTTTTTCAGATGACTTATCAAAATGTTGTTCCAGTTGAGTCTTTTCTGAAATTCTTTCCAAATTTACCAATTTTGGAACTAGTAGTGATGGCTTTATGAACATGTTGCTATCGTCTATAAGTTGAATAGCAGCCTTTGTTAAAATAACGTTGGTTTTAATTTCTTTAATATAGTTTTGAATTATTAGCTCAGTAGCTTCTGGGCAGGCATCGAAAAGTGATTCAATAATTTCTTCAGCAAGATCTTTGTCTGTCTGTTCCTCTGGGGGTTTACCATCATAAGTGTGAACTATATGCTCCCTTAATTTGAATATTGATTTTGAAACTTTGTCGATATCATTTATATTATCAAGAATATCTTGGCCTTCTGTAATAATAGATTTTATTGCTTCACTATTTGCACTATTGTTAAGAGATTGGGATAACTTCTCCGTTAAAGCTTCTAAAATACATTCTGGAGATGCACCTTGAGGCAAAAGCTCAGATGGATTTTCCATCTTATCTATCTTTGCCTTTTCCAATGTCAGTTCAGTCTGCTCCAAATGGGATTTTAAACTATCCTCTAGCTTTTGGTCAACAACTGACTTTCCTTTCAACTGATTTTCCGTTTGAGTTTCCGATTCCTTTTCCTTTGATTTCTTGCTATCTTCTGTAGTTTCTGGAGGTACTTCTTGAGTGATAACAGAAGTGTCAGAATCTAGTTGTTGCTCAATTTCCAAAAGCTTGGGTCGTTTAGCTTCTGGTTCAATGTCCTCCTGGCTCCCTGATCCCTCTTTGTGATCTAAGTCAGTATCCAAAGCCGATTCAGGCGACGATACGTCCGATTGACTTTGAAGTTCAGAAAGAAATACATTCAGCTTTTTTAACTTTTCCTGTAGAATACTTATCTGGAGCTGCAGTGTATCTATGAGAGTAAATTGCTTAGCGGTAATCTGAGTGAGTTGCGGTTGAGATAGGATTTCTTTCTCAATTTGGACGAGTGTTGCTTCTAGTTGAGCGATATCTTCAGTGTTTTCATCGAGCAAAAGAATACACTGAGGACTATTAGCTTGAAGTCCCTCCTCGATTTCGGTAAGGAAAGCTTTTCCAGACAAAACGTTTTCAATAATTACGCTAATGTCAATCGGCACCGTAGGCTCCACAGGAATTTCAGATAATGCCTTTAGTTCCGATGTAATGGAATCAATTTCCTGCAGAAGTTCTATAACTCGTATTGTGTTGTCATTGTTCTCAATAAAATCGAAGACAGTCACTAAGCTACTTTGGGTTTTAAGAAGTCCTCCCAACACCTCGTTACCAACCTGCTCGCTAACTTCATTTAGACTTCGAAAAGCTGCCATCAGACTGGTCTGTAGTTGAACAACGACTGCTGAGGATTTATCGACATCGACAGTGGGTTGAGTGGCGACAGCTCCAATGGAACGAACAAGGTTTTCAATAGGATTCTTGAGAGTTTTAAGTTGTTGATGATCCACAGCTTCTAGTCGCTCACAATAGGCCACAAAGTTGCCGAAGGCTTTTTCGATTTTGCCAAACATTTCCTCTGCTAACTGAGTCTCTAGTATTGGCAACGAAAGCAATATGTCTTCAAAGGCACTCTCCACGTTTTCCAACGAATCCACAAGGCCAGATTCATACGTGTGTACCAAGGATTCCTTCAATCTAAACATAGTGCGGGCTATTTCCGCCTGAGCCAGAACTGTTTCCTGCTGAACTGTATCCGTGACCAGAGCCGTCTGAATATTCTCTAGATCCGACTTTAGTTGCTCCATTATTTTGCCAACTTGCTGGAGCTCTTTGTTGGCATCTGTCTGGGTGACTTCTAGACAAGCCTCTAGTTGCTTGATGCCACTAGCGACACCCTGTTGTATGTCGAAAACCTCCACTTTCGGCTCTTCTTCCACAACAGCTACTTCCTGGATATGATCTGAAACGGTTTGCTGATGACCACTGCTCTTTAAGTCGGATATATCCCCCTGCGTAGATATATCAGCGACATTTTCCAGAAGCTGTACATCAATCTGTTCGCAGTACTGCCGAACATCACGCAATGGAGTGGCCAAGGCTTTAAGTTTGGACAATTCAAGATCAGTAAGACTTTCAACGCCACTGTGGGCCATGCACTCCTCCACCTGGAGAACACATCGCTCCAAACTGCAGAGGGCCTCAGCAAAAGTGCCCTGTTGACTTGCCTCTGATAAGGGATGAGCTGCTTCCACCACGTTAGTTTCCTGAACCAATGCCAAGCTGTTTTGCAGTTCTTGCATCTTGACAAGAGCTTCCTGGACATGCTGGGCACCTGTTCCCGACAAGGAGACCACGTCAGGGTCTTCACAGTGTGAAAGAACCGAAGTAATTCCTTGGTTCAAGTCCGATAGTAAGACAGCAAAGGGCGAGGGTTTCTCGGCACTTAAGGGTTCCGCCTCCGGTTCAGTTGGCAAAGACTCTGCGGCTGACTTAAGCACTGATACATCGTCCAAAGTGGATAAATCCTCCATAGAAGCTTTCAAAGGCTTCAGATTTTCGAGCACATGAATCAGACTGGAGAGGGGACTGGCAATAGAAAGCTTCTCATCCATCGATTGCTTTTGCTGGCCAACAATATCACCAAACTGATTCAGGGCATTTATAAATTCGTTTTCAGTCAAAGAATCGGGACTGTCCAGAGCTTTAGCCAAGTCAGCAAAACTTTTGCCACACTCGAAGAGAATTCTGGTTGTGTTGGCCTCATTGACATCGAGCGTCGTCTCTGCCTCGCTGAATGTAGCCAATCCCTTGGCAATCTGCAGGATTCGAAGTAGGTACACTTGAGCTTCATTGGAGGAGGTTTTCACTCTCTCAGACGCCTTTGGGCTTTCACTTATTTTATTTAGGGCTTCCTGCAGCGTTTCAATGTTGCCCACTGCCTCCTCCAGAGACACCTTTGTTTCTAGCACCTTCCGCAAGGCACTAAATGATTTGTCGTGTTGCTGCGAGGCTTGCTCCTCATCCTGCTGAATCTCCTGCTGCAGAATCTTAAATTCGTGCTCTTCTATGTCTATGACCACGTTACGAATGATGCTGCGTATGTTGTCCAGTGTTTGAAGAGCTTGCTGATCGGGTTCCCGAGCTGTGAGCAAACGGCCATGACCTTTTTGAGTGTTTTCCTGCAACATACTCAGGGGTTCAATCAGGTCCGCCAGGGAACCGGTCATATTCTTGACCTCTGTCTGTCGAATGCAGTAGTTCAGCTCGTCGACGGGCCGCTTCAGTCTATCCAGCAGCTCTACATGATGTCCGGTTATGTCTCTTTCAAGAATTGTGCTTATTAAAGCTGATAGTTCGTCCTTTAGGTTTAGCAATCGAATCTTAACGTTGGAGGAGAGTCGGGGAGAGATCCTCTCGATGTTCGTCTCAAAATGCAAAACAGCCTGGGCGAATGATTGCAAAAGTTTCTGGGTGTCAGCCACATCCAGTGCCGGCTCAGATCGATGCTCCTCCTGAGGCATGGTGGCCTGACCACTTTCCAAATCTTGCCCTAGTTGCGCCAAGCCATTTTGAATCTCCTGCAGAGGTGGAACCATCGATTCCACAGTGCTAACAGTCAGCATTCCTCCCTCCACACTGTCTGATTTTTCGTTAAGGATTACCTCAAGGCCCTTGTTAAGCTCAAAGAGGGGTGGGGTGACAATATCCAGAATGGCCATGTTGATTTTCTGCTCCATTGACTCGGACCCGGCCAGGGATTCTGTCTTATCCTCGATTGCCTGCAGCGTGCTTTGAAGCTGCTTAATGGGCTCCACAATGCTCTCGAGTACTTTCTGGTGTACTTTCTTATATATCTGCTCCTCTGACTCCTCCAACGAGAGCTCCATTTCGACTCGCTCTAGGGCTTCCTGAATCTTCGCCACTGGTTGGCAAATCTCTTTCAAAGCGCTTGCTTCGCTAGGAAGATTGGCCTCCGATATGGTTGCAAAAGATATGGAATCGGGGACTTCTTGCATTTTCTCCACGGCTTCGGAGAAGTGCTTAGCTGCCTCCAGTTCCTGGGCCTCCTGCAGAAGGGCCTGTGATTTAATAGTGCCCTGCGTGATCTCTAATCCCTGTTGGATGTCGTCAGCAGTCAATTCGATTTGGGCCCGTAGACACTCCGATTCAAACTTCCTGCTTACGATCTTCAGTTCTTCCAGGGCACGTTTCATTTGGTCCGCCACGCTGTCAATAATGCAGACACTGGTGCGCTGAATGAGCGTTGCTCCGGTCTCGTCGATCTCCACACACTTTTCGATGACCTGCAGGCCCATGTGCAGCCGTCGAATATCCTCGTCCATGGATTGGATAAGGGCGTCGATTTGAGTCTCGCCGGAATAGACTCGAAGCTTCGATTCGATTTGCTTGATGGGATCTATGATGTTGCGAATGATGGCTATGCTCTGATCTGCAGCCGATGGTGTCATCATCATGGTGGACTGTTCCATCACCTCGTTCTCGACAGCTGTCAAGTGATTCTCAATTACCTTGAGCAGTTTCGCCAGCGGAACGAGTGCAATCAAATTTTTATTTATCTCATTCTCGTCGGTGACGGCCTTGGCATGGGAGGAGGGTGTGACCAGGAGTCCATCTCCCACGGCACCTGAAATGTCCTGTAAACGAGCTTCATCCTCAGTGGTCTTGGAGGAATCACTGTCCGTGGGTTTCTTGGACTTCTTCCGTTTCGGCGGTGCCGCTGAATCTTTGTCCTTCTCCGGACTGGTTTGAGCTCCAGAAGCGCCCTTTTGGGATGCGGACATCTGGGCACTGGCAAAGGTTTGCAAATCGGATGTCTCCTCCTCGCCCTGGCTGCCAGAAGCCGAGGCTTTGGATAGGCTGAAGAATTCATCCGTCTCTGTGGGCTTGGACTTCTTCCGCTTTCGAATCGGAGCTGAGAGCGATAGCTCCTCCTCCATTTTGTCAAAGGACTCCTGGACGTATTGCTGAGTCTCCTTGTCGACTTTGTCTTCCCTTCCTGAAGATCCATGCACCGTGATCTCGTTTATGGAAATGTCATCCATATCGGCTTCAGTTCGCATGTCATCTTCGACTGTGAAATATTCGGGTGAAATGTCAATGACCACCGCTTCCATCAAAAGTTTTCCCGACTGTGAGGTCTCCTTGACGAAACGCAGCGGTGGCAGTTCCACTATATTGTGCTCCGTCACATGCTCCGAGATTTGATCGGCATACATTTCCACAATTTTGAGGGCCTCCTCCTCGGTGAGATCGGGGGTCTCGTAGAGTGAAACCGAGACCTCCTTGCCGTCGAAGGAGAACGACACGTCGCCCTTATCATCGATGGTTATGTCACCGACAGGCGTCTCATACAGCTGGGAGGTGCGCTCCTCCTGGATGGTGGACAGGGAGTAGTTCCTCTGCAGCTCGTTCTCGTGCAGCTGCTCGCTCTTCTGCTGCTGGCTCTTTTGGGCATCCTCGAAGCCCAACAACGATGCCGAGCTGGCGACGACACCCATGCAGTTCCGTGCCTCGCAGGTGTAGGTGCCCAGGCAGCAGGTGCCATCCTGTCCAGAAATAATGCGATGGATGTCTCCCGGTTTTAGCTCTACGCCATCCTTGTACCACTTGAGAGCGGGTTGAGGCACTCCTATGACCTTGCACTCCAGATTCACGGCTCCCTCCTCGGTCAACACCGCACGAAGGCATTCCAGGAAGCGGGGCTTCTTGTAGTGCCGCGGAATCTGCAGCTTTAGGAAGCAGGAGGTAATGCTGGTGCCAAAATCATTTACGGCCACGCATTTCCACTCCGCCTGATCGACAAACTCCACGGACTTGATGTCCAACAGCCAGTCTTCGTTTTCGCCCCGGTAATGATTATATCGTTCGTTCGGATCAATGGGCAGCTCATCACGGAACCAGGAAAGTATCGGATCCGGAGTGGCCTTCACTACCACCTTGAACTGGAAGGGTTCGTTGATCTTGGCATCGGTGCTCTTAAGTCCAGTGAGAAACTTTGGCGCTTGGTTTTGGTTTTGCTGGGTGAAGACGAGACGCTCCTCGTCGGTGAGTTGGTTCTGAATGTCCTCCACGGTGAGGACGGCAGTGCTACTGGTCTCTCCCATGCAGTTGCGGGCGATGCAGCAGTAGGTGCCCAATGAGTTGGTGCCCGTCAGCTGGTAGACATCGCCCGGTTTTAGTTCGTGGCCATCCTTGAACCACTTGAGCACGGGCGTGGGAAAGCCTACAACCTTGCATTCAAAGGAGACCAGGCCCTCCTCGGTGAGAACGGCGCGCAGACTCTCCATGAACCTGGGCTTGCGGTAGTTCCTGGGGACTGCAATAAAAACTCGGATTAGTACTGTTCTGCTTCAGGGGATTCCAATTCCAGTTCACTCACTGTCCATGGCAACGGTGCACGATGTGATGCCCACACTACCATCGAAGCTGGTCACCACGCACTTCCATTCGCCACCATCGCAGGACTCCGAGGGCTTCACCTCGATCATGTAGACGCCCAGTCCGTCCTCGATTAGTTTGTAGCGCTCCGCGGTCTCCACCCGTCCGTTCGCATTGTACCAGCAGACGCTTTTGGGCCAGGGCGGTACCACCACTGCGAGAATGGGGGAGGAGGAGAGGAAAGATCGGTGAGATCGGGTAAACAATATATGTGCTCTTCGCGTATCGGATCTTCTCTTCTCTCTGGCGGGCAATTAGCGGTTTTGTTTTGCTCGCCACTTGCCGCAAATGTTGATGACCCACCTCAACATTCGAGGCATTCCGACCGTGCGATCGAGTTCAAGTTTCTAGAGCACGATCTAAAAACAACAAGCGCCGGCGAGAATTGGTGCGAATTTGCCAGCGCGTCCGAGTGACCGAGAGAAGATAAACAAACCACGTTGGCCCGGTGCCAACAGGAGATCTTCTCTGGTTCCGATATACCAGAGCTACGTACTACACTCCGAGTGCTCACCTTGACAGCCGAGAATGATGGTATCCCCGATGAGGAGGCTCATGTCCCGCAGTTCGTTCGTGAATATCGGAGGTGGCGCATTGCTCGCCACGCTGCGAAAAGATAAAAACATCAGTAAAGTATATGGGAAACCCCTAATTTTTTTTTAAATGTGTTTAATATTGTTTTGCTTATTGTAATTTTAATTAACTAAATGAATACAATATCTTATGCCTTATATCTCTACAAAATATTGAAGGAATACGAACGCATAGGCATTTTATATTATTTGTTTTTCGGCTGCACAAATATTAGGTATTATGTATTTAATTTAATAAATACTATATCATATGGTTATATCTATACAAAGAATTGAAAGAATACGAACGCGAATAGACATTTTATACTAGTTGTTTCTTGGCTGTACCGATATAAGGTATTATAATGTAACTTGTAAATACGTTAAATGAATATAAAAACAAAAATAAAGAAAGGGAAAAAGCTTAAGAAACCCGACGTCATATTCCTCGAAATTAAAACTAAATGGGTGAAAGTAAGTACTTTCAGTAGGAAAACGACACAAGTCTAGTCAAACTAATATTTTTCCTCACCTGTCTGCCGGCTTGAGGGATCCCTCGCGACTCCCGCGTCCCACCACATGCACCTTGGAGCTGGAGTAGGTGACGCCCATGCAGTTGCGTGCCTCGCAGGTGTAGGTGCCCAGTGAGGTGGGGTCATCAGCGTTGGCGGTCAGGGCAAATATGTCGCCCGCCTTGATCTCCTTGGAGTCCTTGAACCAGCGCAAATGGGGCGTGGGCACGCCCACCACCTTGCACTCCAGCGATACGGTTCCCTGCTCCGTCAGCACGGCACGCAGCTCCTCCACGAACTCTGGGGCTTTGTAGGCCTTCGGCACCAAGACGTTCAGCGTTCCCAGGCAGGAGTTGCGTCCACCAAAGTTCTCCGCCATGAGCATCCACTGACCACCGTCATCCAGCGTCACGGGACTGACCTCCAGATAGTGGAAGGTGCCCTCATTGACCTCCGTGATGCGGTCATTCGCACACACCCTGCGGTCGTTTCTGTACCAGGTTAGCTAGATTAAATAGTACGTTTAGTTTTATTAAAAATAATACAAATAACAAATGACGACGAACCCAGCCATATGATAGGATAACAAATAATGTTAATTTATATTTTACATAACTATTCGACTGTTTTAAAATACCATAAATTATAAGCTGTTCAAGGATTTCTTTGAGTTATTTACATGTTCATGACCTGGTGAATACTTAACCCTCTCCTGGTACTTTGGCCTACCTTAAGATCTGTGGAACTGCGTATTTCGGTTAGGAGGCGTGTCCGGGTGCCCACTTTTACAGAAAGGTCGAGCAGGCGGCGCAGGAACACCGGCGGATCGTCGCCCGTGGATCTGTCCTCCACGATGAGCTCCACGTGCCTGCGCACCACATCCTGGCTCTTCGTCCGGGCGAACAGCGTGTAGTGGCCGGCATCCTCCCGCTGCACATGCTCCACGGCCAACTGAACGGCATTGCTGGTGGCCGTGATGCGAAAGCGGTCAGAGTTCTCGATGGGAATATCGCCTCGGGTCCTAAAAATAACAAGAGGATTAGAGTCAGCCTAAAAGTAAGCATCCAAAACAGCCTGAGCTTTGTAAAGGGAGTTAAATCCTTATTAAAATAAACCGGTTAATAGATCACCTTTTCCTGTAGACCGACGAGGCGGAGGAGAGAGTGCCGTTGATTTGTTTGTGCTCATTGCACTGGCAGCATTTGGAGCATCCGTTGCCCATGGCGTTTGACTTGGTTAAAAACCAAAACTACGATCGCTTGCAGTCGAAAGCTAATTTGACCGAATTCACCACACTTTCTAATTTAAGTCCCACGGAATGTCAAACTCTTTTCATAATTAAATTTTCGAAATTTTAATTTGTATATTATAGTTTTAGTCTAGACAAACTGGTATTCAAGAAAGGTTGATTAGCTTTGAGTTATTGAATTATGAGATTGCTCGGTAAAGGGACTTGGTATTTTTTGGTATATTTCGATATATCGGCTTCTGCCTATCGACGGCGATGCAGTCTGACACGAAAATTATTATTTGTTAATTTAGCTTTTATTCATTTTGAAAACAGTCCAAGTCAAAATAACCCTCCCCTGTAGAAAAAACCACTCATTTATGTTGTATGATATAATTAATAGTAGTTCGGGTTGTATCTGTAACAACACAAACATGTGCAAGTTTTCCATTTCCTTTTATCTTGAAATTCTCTGCTAATCGACGGTCACACTACCTGCTTCCAATAGGATTTAGTGACATAATCTTTTGTTAGCAGCATTTTAGGGGGTCAAGGAATCCTTCGGGTTTCATTCCTTATAATTCCCAAGAACTTATTCTGCAATGAATGCTTATAAATAGCACCTGCATTGGGATCTTCTCAGCGGTCCATTGGATATTTGGCGGTCTTGAAATAGGCCATTTCGTGGTGCAAGTTCTAGTCCAATGCAAAGCCAAATACGTCTTCCACTTTAAGCGCCTTCACGGCTGATAAAGGGGGACGCCCCAGTAAATGTTTAAATAAAATTAAACTTGAATCTTCAACCTTAGGTTTTGGGAATAAATGCATTCACAATTCTCTCTTTGTTCGATTTGTTAGAAATGTCGGCATGAAAGTTTTCCATAGAACACTGAAATGGTATGAATGAGAGCAGCTTGAAACAATAGCGCACACTGAAATAATGTTCGCTCTGTTTAACTATAGTAAACAAAACTCTATACAAATATATATATGTATATAATGCATATGCTGATATCTATCTCCTCCCTCCCACTTCCTAAATGGAAAATCCATCGAAATGATGTCGAAAATAATAATGCATGAGAAAGAAGGTTTGGTAGAGGAGAGAAAAGTAATTAGTTGGTATTTGTTGTGTAGTGCTGCACGGTATTATAGTAGTAAAGTAAAAAATAAAGAAAACACATATACAAGTTGGAAAGTTTGGCATTGAAACATACATATCTGATTAATCGAATTGAGAGAAAGAAGAATTAATTCCCGTTTAAGTTAGGAACACATATAATAGTAGTATGTATAAAATAATTCGAAGATATTTGACTTTGATAATTGGTAGAATTGCACTGGAAGATTCGCTTTCATATCCAACAAGACTGCGGTGTTTTTTTTTATTTTTGTTACCTATATTGTTAGTAAGTTATACTGAATAAGAATATAAAACAGCGGGCGACATTTTCCTATTAAGCGGGCATAGGTAACAGAGCTGCTCAGTTTCTGTGATACATCAATCAAAATGTATCCCAAAAACTAAAAACATTGCATACCAAGACTTTAAAAAGATCAATTAGTTTGGGAAAAAGAGCGGTGAAAGTGTAAAAGTGAATTTGGTCTGATGGAAATAAATGCACATTTATCATTTGAAATACGCATCGAATGGCTTCTCATTTGTAAAAATCCGATGATCCGTTCAAAAGTTATACGCAAAACAATATTTTGTTTGTCAGTTTGTCCCAAAACGTTATTTTAGAGTCCTTGAAATTAAAGACGATGGTAAACAGCTTAATATAAGAAACTTTAGTTCTACCACTTTTGGAAAAAACTCGCTAGCTTGGCGGAAAAACAGCTATAAGTAGCTAAATTTCGTACACCCCTAACTTGTGAACGACTATGCTATATGTCGTTAGAAAGGTGTTTTGAAATACTATTTACGTTTTTCTAACAGAAGAACTTTTGTTTGTTGAAGGTGCGCTCGTCACTAGATTTTTGCCTCCTAATGAGGTGTGTTTGTATGATAGACAATATGCCATTGATCTTAAACCATTCCGTCACTATGTAAACAAAAATGCATTTTCTAGGATATTAAAATTTGTTTTTGTACTGTTTTTCTTAATTACTCATATCGCACGTGCAAACATTTACCGAAACATTTGAGGCGCAAGAGTCATTTATTTATGTGGCATAATTATTGCCCAATAAACGCAAACAAACAGGCACCGCAAACACCACCGCACGAAAACAATAATAACAATTTTGTGAAAGAGAAAATTGGACAAAATGTTTCTGAATCGAACTCGAGGCAGGAATGTTTATAAATAAGTGCTTGAACTTGCTTCGCTATTAATTGTATTTCGCATTCGGCTAGAACCGCGCACTGCAATAATTTAAACGCTAGCTAGACGGCAACGCGTTTGCCAATTTATTTTTGGGCTGCGTGTTTTTTGATGTTGAGCGCTGCTAATAACTTGTTGTTTCGCTGTCGTTTTCCCTGAGTTCGAGAATTTTCAAATTGTTTCTTGTTTCGATTGTGTGTCTGTTGTTTGGGGGTTCCTTGGTGGTTTCTTGGTGGTTTCTTGGGGGCCCAGCGGAATCGCTTTATTTATTTATCCGTTGCTCTCGCGGATATTGCCAAACACTGATCGCACTCTCTACCTATGTATTCCGCTTTGTTTCTCCGCCAGGCGCATTATGTAATTTTCGTTTTCGTTTGAGAAAAACTATTTTCAACACTTTTAGGGAATTTAATTGAAACGTTTTTGACGCACACCGCCGAAATTCCTTCGCTGTTTCCCAAGACAACCCCCAAAAATAACAAAAAGTCCAAGGCAGACGAACGTTTCGCGGCGATTTGTTAATGTGGCTATAATTAGACGTTCGTTACAGATCTTGGCCAGCGATCCCGCCACCCTCATTCACTAGGTTCCCTGTTTTTTTTTTTTCAAACCGCGTTCCGCTGGAATTCTTGCGTAGTTTGATTGATTTCGATGTGCAGATGATTTATTGAGTATCCGCCGCGTGGACACCCCCAGATTGCACGAACCAGCACGTATACGCAGTGGTGGGTATATATAGAACTCTCGTATAGCACTGCCGCCGCACTGCTGCTATTCTGTGTGTCCGCCCGCTGGGCAACGGATATGTTAATGCGCCGATCGTCAAAGTGGAACTGGCCGCTCAAGAGCTTCCGCGGCCCATGGTGAAAAATCAGAGAAAATCGGAACGGAACCCCAAGATGTACCCGGTGCTCTTTGGCGGCGCAGACGCCGGTGGATCCGCTCTGCTCTCGGTCCGCTCAATTGAGCAAATCCGTCGCCGTGAAGGGGAACTCATATGCTAATGCGCAAATTTTGGCATTCGGCATTATGCACAGCAGACCGGGCGGAGCAAGGACGGGTGATTCACCGGGTGCACAGGTAAGCGAGGGAAAATAGACTTCTGCCCGACAGATTTATGACTTACCACTCGAATTTGAAGGGCAGCAGTTCCGGCTCATCCTCCTCGGCGCAGTCGATCTTCACGAAGAACGTGGCTCGTTCGTTGGGGATGCAGCGGATCAGGGAGCTGGAGTTATCACTGAACGTGATGCGAGGTGGTCGGCGCTGGTCCGCCTCGAATCCTCCGTCCTCGCCAGGAGGCTCTGCAAAGTGGGTTTAGAACACATAGTGCGTTAATTATAAGCATGACTAATCGCTTTATAGGTCTCGATGGCGGAGGAAGCCGTCTGCCGAACAAATTATCATAAATATTTGCGAAATGTCAAGAATTGCCAGGGGCATACATAAACACACATAGTTATGCCGGCAACAAAGGAGGAGAGCTGCCAATTTAAAATGAACTCGACGTTAGAATACCCTAACCAAAATAACTACACACACAAAAGAGGTCATGCGTTAAATTGACCAATACTTAAATATAAAAAACCTTAGCCACTATTCAAAGTAGAAATGTGTATTTTTTGGTTGCTTTGCTTACTATTTAATAATTGTGAGAGTTACTATTTCATTGGTAAAATTGACAATTCGATGAGTCCATTTAAATATTATATTGGTCACTTTGACCCAATAGTTTTCTTCTGTGTCTTAAACTATATCCAACATGGACTTCGTTATGATAAACTGTTCCCGTACATAAAGATGTGGTATGCAGTTGTGAAAACCGATTTCTGTAGAACCCGTGATACAACAATATGACAATTTATTTTAAAAATTATTTTTTTATTTTTAGGTCACAAAAGATAAATACATAGGATAAAGTGTGACTGACACAGAATTTCATTCATTCCTATTTAAAGTTTTTTAAATAAATCAATAATATTATGAATTTAGAGCTTTTTATTGGTGCTTATGAGAATTTCGAGTTGTTCTCCCCGATTTATGAAAAGTATCTTCGGACATTATTAAATTAAGATTTATATCTATTTTAATAGAGATTATTATAATTGTTTAACTAATTTGTAAGCAACAACTTAGTGAAAAAGTCCTTGTTTTTATAGAAGGCTTTTATAAATGAAAAACAAATTAGTATATCAATTGTACCCTATACCTTTTAGTCTTTAAAATGTATCTACTGGATATTAAAAAATTCTTTTTAAAAAAGTTATAGTAATTTGCAGATTTGTTTTTTCCGAATCCAAAATCAATAAACATTCTAGTTCTTGGACTAATAATGTTTGTGTTTACACTAAAAAGTTCGCTTGTCCCGTGCTCTTCCCCACACCCTGCACAAACATCGAGTATTCGGAATATTCACTAAAAATAGTTCCAAATATTATTCATACGCGTCAACAAGCACTATTTGCGAGCATGTCGAATCTTCTGCATGGGGAGCCGTAATCAAATGTGATTCGTAAATAGTATTTCGGCAGTTGGGAACGCACGGTACTCGGTACTCGGTACTTGGTGCGCGATCCTCGCCGGGATGCGGACACAATAATGACACTCGGCCAGCGCATATTCCAACGTACAATTATGAAAAATTCTCATACTCAATTCACAATTACGTAACCGCACTGTTGGCCGCACAATGGCGATGAGGAGGAAAACGGAGACGGAGCCCGTGGCAGGCCATAAAAATACATGGCGCAGCCACACAAATAGCCATGAAGTACTCTACTCGGGTCCGGGATCGGGATCGCGAACGGGAACGGGCCTTAGGTGGCGAGAAAAAAGGAGATTCTCTCACTTTCCCGGCGCCGGGGCACTTGGACTATGATGCTTACCCGCGGCATTGGCTGCTGGCGATCTTTCCATGCTCAGGTCTCGCTATATAATTAGCCGAAACAGGGCCACTTTGGCATGGGACTTTCAGGACTTGCTGTGTAGGATTAGGGCGCAGTATGGTCGGTTGGGTATTTTCAACGCGGCATTAACCGAAAGCGATTCTTTCTTATTTATATTTAGAACGGGCCGCACACAAACGACGGTAGAAATTTGAATTTTTCCGTTTCCGATTCACTGAAATGAAATTTTCCGCTGGTAATTACGCGTATTCGTCGGGCACAATGGATCGGTAAATGTGTAATTAGGATATATTCACATTTTCGGCCTGTGGCATTATTTGAAACTGTGCTGGTGCAGCGGATATACACGTATTCCTCTTCCAATTCCAATTTGAAATCCACCAGACACTCGCACACACTCACACTCGCACTCACGTTTGGGAACACAGAGATGTTCTATCTTTCTATATATAAACAATATGTACAACACAGCATCGGCGTTCGAATGGCGCACACCACGTCCAGCAGACACCTCCTGGATCTCCGATCGTTTTTCTCAGACTGAACCGAACTGAGCTGAGCAGACAGATCACCAGCAGCAGCAGCCATGTCCATGTCGGATAATTTTGGCTGCCCGAGAAGAGAGCTCTCCTCAAAATAATCAGAGATGCCGCGCATGTCTTCTGGTTGGGGGACTACTCTCACCCAATGGTAAAAACACAAGGCATTTAGTAGGGCTCTCAGGTAAGTACACATCTCCACCTGGCCAAGGCAATGAACATTTAATTCTTTTGCTTAGGCCTAAACACACGCATACGATTTATAGTAAATATAGTTGACAATTGATCGAAAAATAGCAGTTACAAAATACCAAATTGCACTCAGCGGCGCAACAAGTGGCGACAACTTGTTGCCTTGTACGTTAGTTAGTTAGTTAGTATTGTTCGATTAAGCTAGTCCGTGTTCCAACTCCAGCTCCTTGGCTCAGACCGAGTAGAAGTGCGAGTTGAACCTTGTGCGGCACGAGGGTTCCGTGAATGGAGAAAACCAGGCCAGCGAGAAGCGTCCGAACACCGACTGGATGCTCTTGAGGCGCGACTTTTTGGCCCAGCGAGCCTCCTCCTTCTTCAGCTGCTCGATGCCCTGTTGTCAGAGAGAGAGAGAGAGCGGGAGAGATGGGAGAAAGTTAGCCGATAATGCCGTGCTGAGATCTAGCCAAGCACCCACCGTCTGATCGTTTAGGATGGCCGTCAGCTGAGTGGCCAGCATGATGATGGTGAATATGCCGAACATAAGGCCCTCGAAGGTGAGAAAGAGCAGCAGGAAAATAGTGGCCGGCGGAGAGTACGGCGAGCAGGTGCGCCAGTCGTTTTTCACGCACTCCGCGAACTGGGTGAGCACCAGGAAGAGCGTGTGCACGGAGATCGAAGCTATGTAGAACTACGGATCGGAGGAAAGAGCATTTAACTGGCGGCTCGAGTCGGTAAAGAGCGTTGCACTTACGGTGAAGAGCACAAAGTACTTCTGGTTGTTCTCGCCCACGCAGTTATTGACCCACGGACAGTGGTGGTCCATCTTGCGGATGCAGCGCTGGCAAACGGAGCAGTGATGGGCCCGCTCGGGCTTGATGCTGCAGCACTTGGGGCACTTGTAGAACATCTGGCCCTCGCGGTAGCCCATCTGCTCTATCATCTCCTTGGTGGCGTTTCCTCGGGGTACAGCGCCCTGAAAATGATTTTAATTACGGTTACTAATATTCAGTAAATAGCAAATGCTTAAATAGTAACTATATTACATACTGAAAATAACAAGTTTCTATGTTTTTTTTTATTTTTAAGTACACAATTTCGAGTAAATCTAGTCAAAAATATTGATTATGAGTCATGAGCTCATGAGCTATAAATTAAAAAACATAGATGGGGTAATAAAAATAAAGGAAACTATGACACCACTCGTGCAGTTCTCTGTTAAAGTATTGCAACTTAAAAACTTAAAAACATATTTTGAATATTAGAGTTTGGATTTGTGGACTAAGAACCTTTACTTACAAAACAAATTTCCAATTTACATAGTGAAAACACTTTTGCATTTTTTATTCGAAATAGATTTTAATAGAATATTGTCCTATATATAGATACAAATCTAGATTTAAGGAAGATACTAAGCCATAATCTGAAAACCCCCATTTCTTTTACCTCATAAAAATTCGACTGCTTTTGTAGAATCATCTATATTTTCCAATAATCATGCCCATCAGGCATATCTGCCACCCACATAGATAAGGGGCAATAGAATACGAACCGCCCATCACTGGCCATAACCCACTCACCGGATCCGAGAGCATTGTGCGTATGTGCGAGGCAAAGGCGAGGAAAGCGAGTGCCTGAAACACGATCATGTTGATGGTGCTAAAGACAGTGTAGTTGCTGGGCAGGAGAATCAGCCGCATGACCACGAACTCTGCGAACAGGATGAGCAGCCAGGTCATGACCACGCAGACAATGCCGCAGATGTCCTTGACGCACCAGGCCTTGTTCCCACAGCATCGGTTGTGCTGGTCGACGCCGCCGAATCCTCCGCTTCCGCCGGGCGAAAGAGCTGAGTAGGAGTAGTTCATGGTGTCCGGATCGAGCCCACGCTCAGGTGACGCATCGGCCTCGTCAATTCCCTGATAACGCCACCGGACTGCGGACCATTGGCCAAAATGCGTTTGATAAAGGGGCAAATGCGGAACAGAAAACACAACCGTACCAATCGGCCATTCACTGTGGGGGAGGTGGCGTCAGCTGTTCGCCATTCGCCCCGGTCGGTAACATGGGGGCGGATAGGCGAGGTGGTTTCGTAAAATCGTTCGTTTATCTTTCAACTTAATCCGAGCACAAATACAAGTATAACAATTAAAATAGATACAAGGAAATATGGGGCCCTATCTACAAGGTTTTCAATATCAGTTGTTATGCAGGCGTTAACTTGGCCTTGGGCTCCAGCAAAGCCCAGAGTCCGGCCAGCGATGAGATCGCCCCCAGGAGTCCAATTGTCCGGGGCGTGAGACTCGTGTAGCCCAGGGCAGTCAGTGGAATGAAGAAGTCGCACACATTCTTCACCGTGTCCACCACAACGTCCTTGTGTCCCTGCACGAGCACGTAGGACTGCAGGGCCAGGCGCTTGAAGTCCTCCGGCGAGTTGATGCTCGTGGGAATGCGGCAGCGCGAGATTCCGCCCTTGCAGCCAGATCGATGCAGGTCCAGAACCCTCAGGATCTCGTAGAAATCGCGGCACAGGTTCATGATGATCGAGAAAAGCCAGTACTTGTTGGCGATAGTGGACCATCGCTTGGCGTTCACCGCCGTCAATCCTGTCCTGGCTAGCCAGAGGAAGTGGTCGGCGAAGAGGAACAGCGACTGGGACAGCTTGCTCAGGGTAAGCGTAACTCGAATGGTGAGATCCGGATGATGGAGTGTCTTCAGGGTGCCGTAGAACACATCGACGCACTTGCCGAAGCGGAGCACTGCAATCTGGAGGGATTAGATGGGCACTTGAGTGGTCGAAAAGGATACCTACACTTCCGGAAGGTGCTCAGGATGTATTCGATCGTCTTAAAGTTGTCCACCAGCGCTGGGCTGGAATTGGCGGACTCCAGCGAATCCCACATGGCCCGCGAGGCATACTGGACGAGTCGAGCGATCTTGTCCCGACCGCCAGCCTGGTTGTTCAACTGCACCAGTCGATCCATATTCATGTTGTGACCGCACGGTTAGTTGTGCAGCAATTCAAATTTAAGCTAGATCCAAAATCCAAAGGTCGAATGTTTGGCTGAAGGGACTCATCAGCTGTTCCTACGTTTCGCACTGAATGGCAAGACTTTCGTTTTGAAAAAGGCGCGAGGCATAGGCGTGTGGAACTATTAATGGGGTTGCGAAATTTATTTTTAATTCAGTTTTTGTACACCCTTATACGGACTGAATGTAACTTTAGGCACAAAAACTGATTTCCACTTAAATAAATAAATAATAATACAACATCTTTTGTACAAACCAAAAAATTTTACTTATCTGAAATAAATAATTTAACAGCAACCTGCTTTAAATTTTACCCTCTGATCACCACGCCTCTGCTAGCAAAAAGAGAAAACCGTATTTCTCAACACTGCTCTCCTATCACACACAGTGTTGCAAATCATTCGCATTGTTGAAAATTTGTCTTCGCCACGTAAAAAGTGGTCCGATTTTGGTTTTCGAAATACCTGACACACAACTAGCAATCACACCATGGCGGTAAGTACCTCCAGCACCAGGACAACGCTCTCGAGGATTACCCAAAATCGTTTGTCTACTTGCAGCCGCAGCAGAAGGGCAAACAGGGCACGAAGGGCGCCAAGCAAATCGTTGAAGAGAACAAGACGACACTGGCTTTCTACCGAAACATGGCCATTGGATGCTCTGCACCCGCCCTGCTCCTCAGCTTCCTCGTCTTTGAAGTCACCAAAACCTCGGTGGTAAGACGGCGAACGTCCACCTTAACATGGTTAATCATAAGTCTCCTACTCCCCTACAGTTCATGCACATCCTGGCGTTGCTGATCCTCGGCAGCTCCTATCAGTTTATGGTCTTCATGTCGAAGGCACAATACTCTGAGAGCGGGGCTCTTGTGGACTCCGGCAACGATTTGAACATGGAAGGCGGTATAGCGGAGTAAGTGCACCAAGAGGAGTATCCATCCACTTTGCTTACACAAGACTTTCCCTACAGAAACGTCAAGGACCTGATCATCCTGACTTCCGGCACGTTGCTGCTGGCCCTCATCTCAAACTACTTCTGGCTGGTGCTCCTCCTGGCGCCCGTCCGCGCCGGCTGGATGCTCTGGGGCACCGTCATTCAGCCCTGGCTGTCGCAGCGAAACGCCCAGGACGATAATCCCGAGGTGGACGAGAAAAAGCAAAGAAAGATGGAGCGCAAGATGCGGCGCATGAGATAGGAGACACCTTACGAGGTGCTCTAGGGGTTAAGGGGTTCCTGGTTTTCATGAGATTCTGCGCTTAGTTGTGTGTGCGCTTCCAAATTGTTAAATGTTCAGCAAATTAAACTGCTCGAGACAAAGACAATTCACGGTTTTAGTTAGTCAAAGCATTTGTGCGATTTAATTGCGGTGAATTTTCCAAGACGACAAGCTCCGCGAGGGAAATTGCATATCCTCACCGAGGTGCCGCCGAATTTTTGTGCATTGTAAATATATTCGTGTAATTGTTTATAAATAAATGTGCTTCAGTGCAGCAGGAACTAGTGCAGTGTCCGTTTCTCTTCGAGATGCTGGCAAAGGGAGCGTAGGACTAAAATCATAAGCAATAAAAGAAGGGCGATAAAAATAAAATTAAGCTTTTGCAACAATTTATTCTCTTGTTGTCTAGACAATTGTGAGCATCCAAACTAAAGTATAAAAGTATCAAATAGTGTTATGCTGGGGTACTGTTATGTAGTGCGGCTCGGAGCACTAAATTTCACTAGG